GTTTGAGGCCAGCCTGGTCTACTGAGTGAGTTTCAGGACAGCCAGAGCTGTTGTTACACAGAGAAACCCTGTCTCCAACCAACAAATCAAACAACAACAATGACAAAAAAAAAAAAAAAAAAAAAGAAAGAAAAATCTATATTGTAGCCAGACATGGTGGTGCATCCTTTGGTCCTGGCACTTTGGGCCAGATGGAGGTAGGAAGATCTCTGCGGCTTTCAAGCTAGCCTGATCTATACAGTGAATCCAGGCCAGCTAGGCTACTCAGTGAGATCCTTCTCAAAACAACCACTGTGACAGGTGTGGTTCCAGGCACTGGAGACACACAAGGAACAGGAGGCAGAAATCCTTGTCCTCAAGGGGCTGACATACTAATTGGATAAAAGGAAAATAAACACAACGGCAGTTTCCAGGTAGAAACAAACAAACACACAGGTCAGGGGCTGGGTTGGATGGAAAGTGAGTTTATGATCTCAAATCAAGCAGTTATGAAGATATGAGGAGGCCATATCCTTTTCTGTATGAAGGCAAACACTTTAGAAAAGCCGTGCTTTCAGGAGTGAGATAGCTTTGCCACCCCAGCTAGTAATATGCAGTCACAATGGAATACAACAGTGACGACAATCATTTCAGAGGTAGATGTGACGTTAAATGCCTGAAAACAGCATTCTGGAAGGAGAGGCAAGAAGATCCTGGAGAGCTCAAGGCCGATCAGGACTACAGAGTTAAAACCCTGTCTTACAAAATCAGGGAGATGGGGTTGGAGAGATGGCTCTGTGGTTAAGGGCACTGGCTGCTCTTCCAGGGGACCCAGGTTCAATTCCCAGCATCGACATGGCAGCTATAGCTCCAAGATCTGACACCCTCACAGAGACATACACACCAATGCACATAAATAATTTTAAAAATCAGGAAAGGGTCGGGGCTGGAGAGCTGGCTTAGAGGTTAAGAGCACTCACTGGCTGCTCATGCAAAGGACCCAGTTTCAATTCCCAGCACCCACAAAGTGTCTCAGAACCATCTGTGTCTCCAGTTACTGCAGTTACTTCTGGCCCTCACTACATGGACGTGGAATAGACATACATACATGCAGGCCAACGCTTAAGCAGGAATAGACATACATACATGCAGGCCAACGCTTAAGCAGGAATAGACACACATACATGCAGGCCAACGCTTAAGCAGGAATAGACATACATACATGCAGGCCAACGCTTAAGCAGGAATAGACATGCATACATGCAGGCCAACGCTTAAGCAGGAATAGACATACATACATGCAGGCCAACGCTTAAGCAGGAATAGACATGCATACATGCAGGCCAACGCTTAAGCAGGAATAGACATGCATACATGCAGGCCAACGCTTAAGCAGGAATAGACATACATACATGCAGGCCAACGCTTAAGCAGGAATAGACATGCATACATGCAGGCCAACGCTTAAGCAGGAATAGGCATGCATACATGCAGGCCAACGCTTAAGCAGGAATAGACATACATACATGCAGGCCAACACTTAAGCAGGAATAGACATACATACATGCAGGCCAACGCTTAAGCAGGAATAGACATACATACATGCAGGCCAACGCTTAAGCAGGAATAGACATACATACATGCAGGCCAACGCTTAAGCAGGAATAGACATACATACATGCAGGCCAACACTTAAGCAGGAATAGACATACATACATGCAGGCCAACGCTTAAGCAGGAATAGACATACATACATGCAGGCCAACGCTTAAGCAGGAATAGACATACATACATGCAGGCCAACGCTTAAGCAGGAATAGACATGCATACATGCAGGCCAACGCTTAAGCAGGAATAGACATACATACATGCAGGCCAACGCTTAAGCATAAAGTTCTTGCCAGGCAAGTATGAGGACCTCGGCTTCATTCCCACCGCCACATAAAAAGTAGGACATGTGACACATATTTGTAACCTTACTGCTGTGCGTACAGAGACAGGCTTGCTGGCACAGACACGCGCGCGCGAGCACACACACACACACACACACACACACACACACACACACACACACACGCTATGACTAAGCCTCAAACAAGCACAGGCTGAAATAAAATTTAAGATTTTTTTTTTTAAAGCCGAGAGCATAGTACCTGGAGCCTGTGATCCTAGCACTTGGGAGGCAGACGCAGGAGAATCAACATTAGCTAGCTTCAGCTACACAGCGACTGGACTACATGAGACCCTGTCTCAGAAGAAGAAAGAAAGAAAGCAACAACCACGTGTGGCAGCACAGGCCTGTAATCCCAGCACAGTAGTGGCCAGCCTGTGCTACGTGTGAGACCCTGTCCCATGGGGGAAAGTGTCAGCTCACCCAGCCGGAACACTCAGGGACAGGGACAGGGGCCAGTGAGAGGTGTTCGACTTTACCCTAAACCAACAGATGTTCAGGTAATTTAAGAAAGAGTGGAGACCAGGTGGTGGCGGCACACGCCTTTAGTCCCAGCACTGGGAGGCAGAGGCAGGCGGATCTCTAAGTTCGAGGCCAGCCTGGTCTACAGAGTGAGTTCCTGGACAGCCAGGGCTACACAGAGAAACCCTGTCTTGACAATGCTGTACGTTCTCAGGCACGGGGTAGGAGAGGACACACATCCCTGTAGGTCACAACAATAAGACAAAGGCAAGGCAGTGAGCAGTGCAGGGTGAGACCGGCAGGGTTAGAGGAACTGGAACCTCAAACCTGAACACAACGCCCCCAGTCCCAAAAACAGAGCCCTGGCAATTATGCAAACAGAGGGCAGAGGCCAGGCTGCCTACCACTGCTGAGCAGTGCTTGCTTCTCTTCCTGAGGTTGAAGGTTTGGTTCCCGGCACCCACACGAGGTAGCCCACAAGCACCAGTAACTCCAGCTCCTGGGCAACCATCCAAGTACAACTGTCCCGGTATACCATACACATAAATAAACAAAACAACAAAGATTTCAAAATAAAAAAATTCCAAATTGTTTCAAAGCAAATTACAAAGTTGCTAAACTCCTTAAGGAAGCCCCCTCTCTGCCCTGACCAAAATGTTAGAGGGCCTGAGCGGACACGGACACGCACACACGCACTCGCGCACACGCACACCAACAAAAAAACAAAAATCAAAACAAACTCGGTTGTCAGCAGTATTTCTTACTCACGGAAGACTTGGGAATTGGGCCAGACTGGCAAGTGAATTAATATTTAGGTGGAGACAGATCCCGATTCTGAGCACCTCTCTGGGAGTCTTGCTTAGACTTAGGCACCCAAGAATAGGCAGGAAAGGCGGGGCTAGATCAGGGATGATGGGGCCGCATGCCCAGTGCTCCCTCACTGGCTCCTCTCCCCCTTCTTCATCTGATGATTCCCATTGGTTTTAAAAACAAAATCATGGGCTGCTGATGTAGCGTGTACAAAGTCCTGGGTTCGATTCCCAGTACAGCAGAAACCACCAATGCACACCTATGATCCCAGAAAATCAGGATACGGAGGCAGGAGGATCAGACAGACTCCAAGGCCATCCTCAGCTACACAGAGTTTGAGGCCAGCATGGAATACACAAGATCCTCAAAACAACAACAAATAGTATGTAGGTTGGGGTGGTAATCTCAGCACTCTGGAGGCTGGGGTAGGGAGATCAACAGAGGCCCGCCTGAGCTATACAGTGAGTCTCAAGACAACACACGTGTACTGTGCACTTACTCTAAGTACTTCCCAAACGTTATCTCCCTAAACCCTCCAGCCTACCTAACTCGTGGATCTCATTTAAGAGCTGTAGAGTCCAAAGACTTGCCTCAGGTCACTGGAAAGAATTAAATTCTGTCTGACAGCTGCTCCGGCTGGTGTCTTCACTCACCATATCTTACAAGGGGAGGGGACTGGATTAAAGCAAGGAAAGCAGATTCTGACCTGGACGGCAATTCTAGATATACCATTTATGCTGTATAAAATGGAGCTCCTACACCTACTACCTACCTGAACCAGTAAGTCCATACACACAGCTAAAACAACCAAGATCAGGCATTTTTGAAAATGGCATTTTGAAAAGTAAGGGGTGGGGACTGTCAGGTTTTTGAGAAAATGTCTGAGGCTGAAAAGTAGGAACTCTATTAGCAAGCGACTCTAATCCATTCCTGGGACCGGAGCTTCCCACCGACAAGCTCTGAGGCTGCGACTTAACTTTCCTACCAAAAGTGTCGATCTTACGGAGCCTCCCTTTAGCTATCTTCATAGTGACCTGCTTGTTCTCATCATACAGATAAGGGCACAGAGGCTTACAGAGAGAGTGACTTGCTTAGGTCACAAGGAGGGGCAGAATGAGGAATCTGAAAGCTGGACTGCCCACACAAACCACTATTCGTCTAGATTCCACCGGGGCTGGAAGGATGCTAAAGGAGGTCTCTACGGACCCCTCCAGAGTTCCGTGACTGTCCTGTTTATCAGGAGTTTCTGGTTAGATTAAGGCAAGATATAGACAGCCACGTTCCTAAACTCATGCACCTCACAACGCCTCCTGGTCCTAGAAGCTAACCTACACCCTCATTGACTTCTACCTCCCACCTCAACTTGCCTTGCCGCCCCACCTCGCAGTCGAGAGAACCCGCGGTTAGCCTCTCCCTGAACAACTCTTCTAGCCCCAAGCCTCTCTCTCTCCATGCACACCAGGCTAACTAACATCTCTCGAAATTACCTACTTCGGGGTCTGTTGCCTTGATGTCCAGCCAGGCTCCAACTGGGAGCCTCACTACCCCAGCTCCGAATCCCCTTAACAGTCAAGTCAGTCCCAAAACTCGACTCTCTCCAGCCCCAAGACCCCTCCCTCCCTCCCTAGCCCCCATTCTTCTACTCCCTCGGGCTCCCATTCCTCTCGATCCCCACCCACAGCGACCTCCCCACGCCCAACCCTTTCTTTAGCTTCAGTTTTGTTTCCTCTCGAACCCAGGTCCCGAACCCCCCGCCCATACTCTCGAACACCCGCAGGACCCAGCTTGGTGCTCTCACCATCTCGCCGCGCTGCAGCTCGCTCCACTACACGGGTTTCCCCCACTCGCTCCTCTCCAGCCTCCCCTTCCGGGTTTTCGCCCCGAAGCCCGCTGGGAATTGGAGTACGGTCGGCCACGGACTACAGCTCCCAATATGCAGCACGGTACCTTGGAGGCGGAGGCGGAAACAAGCAAGTAGGGTTGAGAATAGAACGACTCAAATTCCCAGGAGGCAAAGGGCACACAGCTACGCAGGCGCAGAAAATTCACCCGCTAAGCTCTCTGGGAAATGGAGTCCAGCCGTCTCCATTTTGGCCCGAGGCCCTTGAAAAGGGAATTGAAGCTATTGAAAGGGACTGTTGGTGAGGGATGGAGAGTTGATAAAGAAGAAGAAAAAAATCGACTTATTTGTGTTATTTAACAATTGATAATGTGTGCGTTTTCCCAAACGTTCCCTCCCATCCCTCACCTCCATCTACCACCCCACTTTTGCCTACCCGTACCTCCTCACTCACAAATAACAAAAACAAGATATTGGAGTGAGGAAAGCGCCGGAACTATGAGACTGTTTATATCCCAGGTGGAGCAGAAAATCCAGAAGGGCAGGACTCCTTATGTACCTTGAGTGAATAGTTTGTGACTTTTGACCACTTTGGATAACCCTGCTAAGAACTAGCCCAAATTTCTAGAAGTTAAGGTGAATCTAGTAGATTAAGGCTCTCTGTCCACATCATTACTGGAAAGCACTCTGAGCTGAGACAGTTAACCCGAGGTGCTCGTCATAGCTAGGTGTCTAGAGAATGTCTGAAGACACACACACACACACACAATTCCCATATTCATGTATAGAAGAATGTGCTTTTATTTATTTTACTTATGTGAGTGAGTGTGGATGTTCTTTGCTTCAGCTTCTGGGGATGAAACACCATCCACCAAACTCAACAACGAACCCACAAGGAGTTTGCTGGGAAAGGGAGCGAAGGGAGGGGTAGATGCTGACGGATCGGGAGCAGAAATGGAAAGAGAACAGGGAGAGGTGCTTGTTATTCCAGGGAAAGGGAGCAGTTTAGGACGAGGCCCAGCAGTTGGGGTCCTTGAGACTGGAGCCATGGAGCTGCAGTTGGCCTCTGCATGCAGAGTCGTTATGCAGCCACCTAACACATGCACGATGCAGCCATGCAACCTTTGACAGCCTTTGAGCTGCCAGTGAGGAGTGATCAAATCACCTGTCAAAGACAGATCCCTGTGCGAGGGAAGGTCTCCTGGAGCAGATCCATCCCAGGGTGGGGAGAACCCGAGCATCAGAGAGCCCCTGCGACCAGGAAAAATTCCCTAAGGAGAAGGCACAGGCCCGGGAGAGGGCTGTCGTGGAGTGACAGGTGGGTGCTGAGGAGAAACCACTGGGGCGGGAGAAGGAGTCAGGAGCAGGAACAGGACCAGGGGAGAGGAAGAAGCCAGAGTATCAACAGAAGTTAGAGAATAACTTTCAGGAGTTAATTTCCCTCCTTCCACTACGAGTCCCAGGGATGGGACACAGGACTTGAGTATTGGCAGCAGGGGCCCAAGAAAGCTTTTTAAAAATGTACAGTTTGGGATGGCCATGGTGGCACACACCTTTAATCCCAACACCCCGGAGACAGACAGAGATTGTCTTTGTGAGTTGGAGGCCAGCCTGGTCTACCTACATACTGAGTTCAAGGCTGTGAGAACCTATGTCAAAAAATAAAGGTAAACAAATAAGCCTGGAAAGATTTCTCAGCTGTTAAGAGCACATATCGCTCTTGCAGAGAACCTGAATTTGCTTCCAGCACCCACAACTGCCTGTAACTCCAGCTCGAGGGGGGTTATGATACCTCTGGCCTCCGAGGACACCTGCGCGGATATGCACATGCCTCCCCCGACACGCACCCATGTACACATAATAATATTAAAAAAATAAACACTTGTATAGTTTGTAGCCCCTCATGGTGGTGCACACCTTGCCTTCTAGCACCTGAGGCAGAAGGGTCACAAGCACTAGGCAAGCCTGGGCTACATAGCGAGCCCTGACCCCACACACAGACACAAACAAAGGTTACTTTGTTTGCATGTTACAGTAACTGTCCTCCTCCCCTTCAGGTCTGTACAAGTTCATCTCAAGGAAAGTTGGCAAAACTATCAGCCTGGCACAAGGTGCCCGGCACACGGCTGTCTTTAATCAGCTGTGCACTGAAGGGAAAGGGTGGGACGGGGACACAGGAGGGCCAGCAGGGGGAGTCCTGACACCTCACTCCAAATGGCCGGGGGGCGGGGCAAGGCGAGGGGGCGTGGCCCGGAGGAAAGGCGGGTAGTGGAACGAGAGCTGATTGGTCGGCACTGCGGGCGCGGGAGAAGGAGCACATGCCCGAGCTGCGGGGCCGGCGTGCGCGTGCGCATGGGCCGCTCCTCGCCGCCCTGCCCCTTTTCAACGCCTTCTCTGCTTCCGCCCGGCACCGCGTGGCGGGAACGCGGAGGGGGCGTGGCCTCCTCGCCTCAGGCGCCCCGGCGACGGCGGGCGACAGCCTCGCGCCCTGCCATTCCTGCCTCGGCCCGCGCCTCGGGAGCACGCGGCCCGGCGCCCCTGGGGACCGCGCCAGCTGCTGTCGTCGCACATCGGGCGGCCCGGGCCTGGGCCCAGCGCCCGGACGGAGGTCGAGCCGTGACGCCGTTTTTGCAAGTCTCGAGGCGGGTGCTGGTGGGCAGCGCGTGCGGGGCGGAGGGTGCCCGGGTGTCCCAGCTGGCCGGGTAGCGCGGAGCCTGCGGCCCCCGAAGCCGCACCGGGCGGCCGTGGCCCTGCTGCTCCCGCTGCTCCCGCTGCTCCCGCTGCTCCCGCTGCTCCCGCTGCTCCCGCTGCTGCTCCCGCTGCTCCCGCTGCTCCCGCTGCTCCCGCTGCTCCCGCTGCTCCCGCTCCCGCTGCTCCCGCTGCTCCCGCTGCTGCCGCTGCTCCCACTGCTGCTGCCGCTCCCGCTGCTCCCGCTGCTGCTCCCGCTGCTGCTCCCGCTGCTCCCGCTGCTCCCGCTGCTCCCGCTGCTGCTCCCGCTGCTCCCGCTGCTCCCGCTGCTCCCGCTGCTCCCGCTGCTCCCGCTGCTCCCGCTGCTCCCGCTGCTGCTCCCGCTGCTCCCGCTGCCGCTGCTCCCGCTGCTCCCGCTCCCGCTGCTCCCGCTGCTCCCGCTGCTGCTGCTGCTGCTGCTGCTGCTGCTCCCGCTGCTCCCGCTGCTCCCGCTGCTGCTCCCGCTGCTCCCGCTGCTCCCGCTGCTCCCGCTGCTGCTGCTGCTGCTGCTCCCGCTGCTCCCGCTGCTCCCGCTGCTCCCGCTGCTGCTCCCGCTGCTCCCGCTGCTGCTGCTGCCGCCGCCGCGGAGCTTCGCAGTGGGACAGGACCGCAGGGCGCCAGGCAGCTCTGAGGCCCAGCCTAGGCTAAAGCTGGACTTCTGGAAAGTTCTATCTGAGTGGCGCTGGAGACACGGGGGTCGGCTCTTTGAGGCTCGGCTTTTGGAACCTGAAGATGGGAGATCTGGGGTTCCAGGGGTCGGACTTGGCAGGGTTGGGGCTTTTCCGGTGTCAGTGGGGACTGACTATTGAGGGGTGGAAGTAGCATCTGGGGGTGCGGCACAGTCTGGGTCTTTGAGACTGAATTTCGAGGCCTCGAGTGTCCCCCTACCCCCTGAGTGAGGGAGCACAGGCGTCCATTCAGAGTTCTAGGTCCCCCTGGGATGCACTCGTGAGATCCATGTTTTCTAAGAAGATGACAACTTAAGAACCTGTAGGGACAGCTTGGAGTCTGCAGATATTTATGTAGGACACGAGACACGTGCGTGCGCGCGCGCGTGTGTGTGTGTGTGTGTGTGTGTGTACAGGGTGAGTTTTGTTTTGGAGGACCCTGGGTAGTCCTCCAAATTTGGGCTTTTCAGCGTTAACGCTTGTGGTTTGAGTTGGGTGTGTTAATTCACATGTATAATATTGCATGAGTTGGAGTCCAGCCTGGGCTACAAAAGCCGATAAGTCTGCCGAGACCCTGTCAGAAAAAATAAATAAAAAGGTGTGATTTGTGATCTTGATAATAGGATTAGGGTCCTATTTGAGGGTCAATAGACACATTTTGCACATCCAGGATTTCAATATTAGATTTGGGTTTGGAAACGCCTTTGGGGGATTTGACCCTCACTTTGGGATTTTATGTATTTATTGGTGGTTTCTTTTCTTTCTTTCTTTCTTCCTTCCCTTCTTTATTTCTTTTTGTATGTTTTGTTGTTGCTGTTTATTGTTTTTTGAAAGAGGGTCTCAAAAACTGGCCTGGAACTCAGAGAACTCTGGCTGCCTCTATTTCCTGAGTCCTGAGATTAAAGGCATGGACTGCCAAGCCTGGCTCACTTTGGGGTTAATTTTTTTTAAAAAAAATTATGCGTTTTGCCTGCATATATGTACGTAATTGGAGTAGATCAGAAAAAGGTATCAGATCCCCTGGAACTTGAGTTAGAGACTGTTGTGAGCCACCATGTGGGTGCTAGGAATCAAATCCAAGTCCCCTGAAAAAGCTCACTTTGGGATTTTAAAGTCAGCTTTCATCTATTAATATCACCATCTAGCTGGGAGGGATTGAGCCAGGTGAATCTCTGTGAGTTCAGGAGCAGCCCGATCTACATAGTGAATTCTAGGACAGCCCGAGCTACTCATCCATTACCCCTTTCTAGAGGTCTCAAGCTACAGATTTCATACTAGACAGTTCTATTTCAGCCTTTGGCATCCCATTATTGATGTCTGAATTCTGAGATCAATGTCTGGGAATTGGCTGGTTTTAGATACAAATTTTAGTAGCTTAAATTTACCATTTGAGATTTGTGATCCCATATTTAGAGTTTAGGGTTTCAATTTGGATTCTTGTGCCCATAGTTATGACCTAATTTTAGGATCTCTGGATGCTTCTAAAGATGCACCATGGGGGTGGGCAAGGGTGTGCATTATTTGCCCCATTCATTTTGGAGTCCCAAGGTCACTAATAGTTTGTTTCTCTCTGTGCAGATGTTGGGTTCCGGCAGATACATGTATTTCCCTGATGAGCTGAGGGCTGGTTCTCTGAGTCCTACTGACAGGTAATGGCCCTTCCTCCAGCACCCCCAGTATAGACCCAATAGAAGTAATAGTAGCAACGTGATGTTACTAAACACTTACTGTTTCCAGATTGCTTATTCAGTCCTTTGATTGTATCTAGTAACCATTACAGCCACCTTACAAAGAAGCAGATGGGAATATTCCCGCCATTTCCCAGAGAGGGTTCTGAGGTGATTTCAGGCTTTGATGTTCGTGGGGGTTTCTGTGAGGTACTAAGGAACTTTTTTAAAAAATAACTATACTACATCCACATTCTGGTGCTCTTTTTTTTTTTTTTTTTTTTTTTTTTTTTTTTTCTCTTTTTTTTCTTCTTTACTTTTCTGTTTTGTTTTGTTCGTGTAGTGCCTGTGGAGGCCAGGAGAGGGCACCATATCTCTCTAGAATTGGCAGTACAAAGAGTCGTGAGCCATTTTGTGGGTGCTGGGATTGCAACCTAGATCCTCTGTAAGAGCAGCAAGTGCTCGTAATTGCTGAACCGTCTCTCCAGCCCCTCTAAGTCTGAGGTCCTTAAATGCTCTTTCTTTTATTCCCACATTTATTCACGTGCCCATTAAGCAGTTATAAAATGTTAGGTGCTTTGAGTGCTGGGGTGAGGGGGACATATGCATGATGGTAACCGTCTACTACTGAGCTACATCCTCAGCTGTAGGAGCCTGAAAAGGGGGATTCATATAGCAGATTGAGGGTTAGATTGGATTCCCTCTCCATCCATCCAATCTGGACAAATTGAAAGCAGTTGGAGTCCATCTTACTGTCTTCCCCTGACTGGATGTCCATTCAAGCCTCCTCCTTCATTCATCAACATCACAGTTAGGCCCCTCCTTTGCTCTTGTCCTCTATGTAGGTACTGTGCTCTGAAAGAGCCCCGGGGAAAATGAAGTATCATGCGTCCTGGAATCTTTGTCATCGGCAGTTTCCCCGTTCTAGACAAGGGCTCTCTACAATAGTAAAGACACTCAGTTGCAGAGGGCAGAAACGTAGCTGAATTCAGGAGTGCCCGGACATGGCTGGTCCCGGGCGAGGACTGGACGCTTTCGCTGGGGCTCTGCTTGCCTTGGCTCTATCTTCCCTATCAAGCAGACCCTCCCTAGGGAGGGCAAGATGAGTCCATATCCGGTCTGCTTGATACCCCACCCCCTCTTTGTGTTTCCTTTTCTTCTTTCTTTCTTTCTTTCTTTTTAAAATATTTATTCATTTCATGTTTATGAGCGACCTGTCTTCATGCACACCAGAAGAGGGATCCCATTACAGATGGCTGTGAGCCACCATGTAGTTGCTGGGAATTGAACTCAGGACCTCTGGAGGAGCAGCCCAAGCGCTGAGCCATTTCTTCATCCCCTCTTCCTTTCTTTTTTTTCTTCAGTGTATGTAAAGGAATCCAGCATCTCAGGCAGGCTAGGCAAGTGAGCCACACCCATAGCTTTCTCTGCTAATTTAGGTTTGGTGTTTTTTGTTTTGTTTTTGATTTGGGTTTTTAGTTTTACTTTATTTTTATTTTTAAGACAGGGTCTCATGTAGCCCAGCTAGCTGCAAAACTCACTGTGTAACTTAGGGTGACTCTAAGCTCCTGAGCCTCCTGCTACACCTCCCAAATGCTGGGTTAACAGGCCTGCCGCCCTGCCCAGCTTGGCTTTCACTGGTGAATTCTAGGACCACTGAGTCACATTCTCAGCCCAGACAGAGTCTTCTAGAAATCTGGAGTTCGGTTAGGAAGGTGTGTGAGTCTCTCACACAGAGACTGGTCGCTCACAGGTAGGGCCTAGGGAAACCCACCCTCTCCATGAGAGGCTCAGCACGGAGCACCAAGCCTGGAGCAACACTGCCTCCCTGCCAGGAGGGCTGCTTTGGTGTGGACAGGGTACTCGAGCTGGCGACGGAAGGTTCTGAGGAAGGTGTGAGGAGAGCTGGTGACGGGTGCTAGAGCGCCCACAGGAGCCCTGTGGGCAGTGGGGTGGGGTGTAATCTGGGAGAGGAAGCCCTCATCTTTCTTTCCGGCTTCACTTAGTGGGGGAGGGGTGGCGCTGTGTATGTGCCAGCATGGGGACCTCATGAATTATGCAGCTGGGGATTAGGCCCTGGAAGTTGCCTTTAGCAAACACACACTGAGTTCCCCGAGTGCCAGGGACACAGTGATAGTGAAGGACTGCAGGGACATTGAGCTCGCCCACCCTGTGCAGTGACGGTCAGTCAGCATGGAAGAGCCAACGGAACCCTGAGACCAAAGAGGCCAGCTGGGCCAGAAAGGACAGGGCACTGTGAGCCACAGTGGCTTGTAGTCCCAGTCCTTGGAAGACTACAGCCGGGGGACTGCTGAGTTTGAGTCCGACTGTCGCAAACAAATTAAAAAAGCCCAAAATGCTCCTTAGCAAGGAGGTGACACAGTCAGATTTGTGTTTCAGAAAAGCTCCTGCTGCCCCAGAAACAAAAGTTCAGGAGGCCGGATGGGAGGCTGAGAGTCTTGTGAGGGTTTGAAGATGGCCATGCAAAGATCGGGGGTTAAACAAGCAGGTGGAGGGTGGGCAAGATTTGGGGACCCATTTGTCTAAGGGACAAAGGAAAATGATACATACTGATGGTGCCTGAGACTGTCCTGGGTGCTCCAGCTGGGGGTAGGGGGCAGCCTCGACCTGAGACTTTCGGTTTGGGGGCAGGTAGCAAACCTTTAAAGCTATGTGTGGTGGCTCATCTTGTCATCTGGGCACTGGAGAGGCTGAGGCAGTATGATCACATCACCTTGTCTCCAAAAGCTACATTTAACCAAAATTGGCTCTCGTCCCCAAACAGGAAGGATAAGAAGAACCACACAAACAAGCTTCGAGAGCTGGCCTTGCTGATCCCTGTGACTATGAAGACCAGAAACAAGAAGCACACCAAGGTGTGGGGCCTGAGGGAGAGGAGGGAGTGGGGGGCGTCGGGGCAGTAAGGGGCCTCCCGGGAACTGCATGCAGGCCCTCTCAGTGATGGACTTGAAGCGGCCTGTTCCTCACCCAAAGTCAGCAGGCGCTGTACCACTGAGTTATACCCCAGCCCTGTGGGATTCTTTCTGGATACGAGGTGGGGGATGGAACAGGGGCTGGAGACAACTCAGTCAGCACTTGTTACTCAAGCATGTGAACTTGAGCTCCAGTCCCAGAAGCACATGCCGTGAGGTACCTTAGTGCATGCTTGTATTGGCCAGCCAACCTAGCCTAATGAGCCAGTGAGCTCAGGTCACATTGAGAGACCCTGTTCTAAAAGAGAAAAGGAAAGGAGGGAGGAGGGAGGGAGGGAAAACCCCTGAGGAATGACACTGAAGATTACCTCTGACCTCTACATGTATGTTCACACTGGCACCCACATGAACATGCACATAACACACAGAGAAAGAGGCAAAGGGAACTAGGAGTGGAAAGTATAGGCAGAGGTCACAGCAGAGCAGGAGCCCCAGCTCCCAGCTGCTGCCTGGCACTCCTCAGTTACTAAGGGAAAGAGTAAGTAATCCCAGAGCTCAGGAGGCAGAGGCCGGCCATCTCTGTGATAGAGGCCACCAGCCCGGCCTACAGAGCGAGTTCCAGGACATCTAGGGCTACACAGAGAAACCCTGTCTCAAAAAACCAAAAATAAAATAAAATAAAAAGACAACTTCGATTCCTAAACAATACCGCAGGACAAAAGTAATGTCTTGGCCTGTGGTTTATCATGTGCAAGGCTCTGGGTTTCACCCTTGGGGTGGGGTGAAGTACAGAGGGTGCCTTTCATTCTAGCACTTGGGAGGCTAAGGCAGGAGAAAGGCAAGTTTGAGGTCTGTCTGGGCTATAGAGTGAGTTCAAAACAGCATGGGCAGCTTAGGGAGCCCTTGATTCAGAATACAGCTGTAAACAGAGGACTGGGAAGGGTAGCTCAGAGGTAGAGGTTTGCCTTGGACACACAAGGCCCTGAGTTCAGAGAGAGACTCAGGGAAGAGTGCATTATTTTTTCCTTTGGCAACTTACAACGCCCTCACATCCCCTGCAAACCATCAGTAAAGTCTCTTTAGGGCTCCTCTGCTCTTAAATGGTCTTCCCACCATTGACCCTCCTGCCTGCCTCCCTCTTACAAAGATCCTCATGACTGCACCGGGCTCATGTGGGTAATCTCAAGTCATCTCTCCATCTCCAGACCCTTACTCAGCGGCATCTGTAAATCCCCCTGCTCTGTAAAACAGCCTATTTACAGGCTCGGGATTAGGTTGTGGCCGCCTTTGGGACTGGGATGGGACTATGGAGGAATTTTCCTATGTCCTCAAGTATTTGCATATTTGGTGTGTATAGGTACTGTTACAGGAGTCTAGGAAGCCATGGATGAGACAGACACAGTTCTTGTCCTCAAGGAATGAGTCTAATAGTCTGTGACTGAGATGCCACCTCCTTTGGAATAATCTCTAGGGCTGTCTGCCTTTCTTTTAATCTTTTATTTAATTTTTTTTTTTATTTATGTGCATGGGTGTTTTCCCTGAATGTGTGACTGTAACAGAAGAGGGTGTTGGATTCCCTGGAGGTGGTTGTGAGCCACCCTTGGGTGCTTGGAATAGAACCTGGGTCCTACAGAAGATCAGCTAGAGCTGCTATCTGGTGACCCACTCTCTTGCTCTCGGTCCTCACCTTCCTATTTAAAATAAGTAATGTATGTGTAGTACCGAGCGTGGGACCCAGGGCCTCGTGCATACTAGGTAATACTACTCTTCATTGCACCCTACTGACCCCTGCGAGAAGGCCTCACTAAAGGCCAGGCTGGCCTTCAGCTCACTCTGTAATCTTGGCTGGCCTAAACTTTACCTCTACCTCCTGAGTGGCTGGGATCATGGGTCTGTATCGGCAGGCCTGCCTTCCTTCACCCCCCTTTCTGTTTTTTGCTTTTGTTTTGTTCTCAAGACAGGGTTTCTGTGCAGCCCTGGCTGACCTGGAACTCTCTCTGTAGACCAGGCTGGCTTCAAACTCAGATCTCCCTGCCTCTGCCTCCCGAGTGCTGGGATTAAAGATGTGCGCCGCCACTGTCTGGCTTACTTCTCTCTCTTTAAAAAAATTATTAATGTATGTGTGAGAGAGAAAAGGGAGCACACATGTCTGGCATGTTTATAGAGGTCAGAGAACAAATTTTAGGAATCAGTTCTCTCCTCTACACTGGGATCTGGGGATGGGGCTCAGGTCATCGGCCTGTGCATCGAGTGCTTTTACCCTCTGAGGCATTTATTTACCCTCACCAGCCCATTCAGCTGACTTCCCTACCATGTATCCTCTCCCAGGCTCAGGCCCCCTGCCCCCTCCACACTCTGTCTGGGTTCCCTCCCGGCCCCCTGGCCAATGTACACTCTGCATTTCAATCTGCCCAGGCTCTGGAGTCAGTCCATCTTACTGGAGGAAGGCGTCCACCTGATTGTGTGGCTTCCTTGTGTCTTAGGTATCCATCCACCACTCTGGATGATTGATTGCCTCCTGTCCTGCATGAACCCAGGTCCTCTTCAAGAGCAGCAAATGCTCTCAACTACTGAACCAACTCTCTAGCCCCTGGACAAGCTCACCCTTTGGTTTAAGAAATTCATAAAGAAGGCTGGGCATGGTAGTTCACACCTTTAATCCCAGCACTCAAATGCAGAGGCAGATGGATCTCTGTGAGCTCAAGGCTAGCCCGGACTACATAGACATCCAGATCTATATAGTGAGATCCTATTTAAAAACAAAATAGGCCTGGTGGTGGTGGCAAATGCCTTTAATCCCAGCATTTAGGAGGCAGAGGCAGGTGGATCTTTGTGAGTTCGAGGCCATCCTGGTCTACAGAGTGAGTCCCAGGACAACCAAAGCTACACAGAGAAATCCTGTCTCTCTCTCTCTCTCTCTCTCTCTCTCTCTCTCTCAATCTATCCATCAGTCAACCAGTCAAAACAGAACAACTACGAAAACCTATGTGGTTTGTTTTGTTTAAAAAAAAAAAAAAAGGAAGACATTCTTGAAGGAACAGATTGTTCAGAAATACCTGGGAGGTGGGAGGTTGGAGACAGGGAAAGAGAAAGAGAGTACATCATTCTAAAGGCCTGTGCCTTCAATCATTCATTCACTCAGTGTTCAGTAGACGTTTGTTGAATGAAGTCTCTGTTGTGATAATTTAAGACCTGCTTTAACTGGAGATGGTTTCTGAAGTTTTGTCTTATAGTTGTAGCTGTCAGATCACGTTCCTAAAGCACCAAGACGAGCCTTCTAGCTGGGTATGGAGGCCATGCCTATAGTTCCAGCACTTGGGAAGTTGAAGCAGGAGGGTCACCAGTTCCAGGCCAGCTTGGGGTGCATAGTGAGACACTCTCTCAAATACAAAACAGAAAAACAGAAACAGCCTTCGATCTTGAAATCAGGGATGGAATCCAACTACCTTTACTTGGAGCATTTGTGTACATCTCTTCACAACTACAAAGGCTTCTGTGTGCCCTGTTTTGAGCCTGGCATTAGGCACGCCAGTCTAAGAAAGACACCTGCTCGGTGCTCTCCTGACAGTTCAGAGATCTGCCTGCCTCCTGGGTGCACTCTCTTCCAGTCCCTTGAGACCCCCTTGAAGATAATCTCATCCAAGCACTGACTAAGCCTTTTAAAAATTGTGTGTGTGTGTTTCTGGAAGGGTTCTCTCTCTCTCTCTCTCTCTCTCTCTCTCTCTCTCTCTCTCTCTGTCCTTTTCTTCTCTCTCTCTTTCTATGGAGTCTTGCTATGTAACCTGTATTGTCCTGGAATTTGCAATCCTCCTGCCTCATCCTCCTAAGTACTGGGATTACAGGAGTGTTCTAGTTTTAGTTTTGTATCTCCTGTAGCAGCTCAAGAAGTATTTAGTGGCAGCGTGGGGCAGGCGGTATCTGCCCACTGGCCAGAAGCACCCTGCTGGGTGCTGTGAGAAATCTGCTTTAAAGGCTCCTGGATGAGTGACCTCTCCTTCTCTGCCTCTGGAATATGGAAATAAGTTAGCTAATGTCTTGCCTCAGCTAGCTCAAGGTCAAAGGCAGAGAAGAACATGGCAACAGATAACAGCCAGCAGTGTGGCTGATGTGGAGGTGGAGAGAAAGTCTAGGCTATTACAGTGTGCTGGGATGTGGGAAGCTGACCCAGCCTGGGCGAGATGGTCAGAAGGGAAGGGGGCCATGCTGAAGTTCAGAGGAGCATCAGGCGGGTGGGAGGGCTTGTGGGGAGAAGAGGCCAGATAGGGAAGTAAGTATGAGCAGAGGACCTGCTGCCAGGAGCTGAACAGTATGTGCCAATATCTGCCTCTGGGGCAGAGAGGACAGGTGGGCAGTATGCCCACTCTCAACCCTGTCTATGTGCAGAAGGAGATCCTGCTGCGTGTCCTGCACTACATCCAGTACCTCCAGAGAAGCATTGATGTGGCCAAGGCTTTGCTCAAGCTCCACGGCAGCAATAACAAAGGTGGATTTGTGGGTAAGCAGTTCCGCTTCCAATGCGTCTATACCACACGTTTTCCTGGGAAGATGACTACATCAGACAGGTAAGCAAGGTGCCATAGGAGACCCAGATGTGACTGCTCACCCTGCTACTCCAGCACCCAGAGGCCGGCCTAGGCTACACAGTGAGTTCCAGCCCAGCCTAACCTACGGAGCAAGACCCACTCTCAAGGAAACAAAGCAAAACATGGACACTGTTTTGGAGTTGGGAGGAGGAAGCCTGAGAGCTTGGTCTTCAAGGACATCACAAAGAAACCCTGCCAAACTGCAGAACCGCTCTGACCAAGAGCATGTGGGCATGAGGAAATGGAATGTTTGGGACAGGCAGCCAATGTGACTGGAGGAGAATATGGCACTGAACGGGTGATGCTGGTTCAGACTCTGCTGTGACCGTAGCCCCTCTGGGCTTCTGTCCTGCAATCTATAAATTGGGAGCCCACCAGCACCCCCCCAATGTGTTATACAGGTGGACACAGCACACAGCCACCCAGCACTGTACAGTGAGAAACTCACAGGCAGGGAGAGAGGCTGGGCACTTGGGGCCAGGGCCGGGGGCTGAGGTCTATAGGTAGAGATGAACAATCTTAGAAGACTGGGCCAAGGAACGCCCTGCTCAGCTCAGTTTGCTTTTGTTTTTACCTTTCTTTTGTTTTTGTTCATTTGTCTTATTTTTGAGACAGAGTATTGCTGTATAACCCAGACTGGCCTCAAACTTGCAATAACCCTTCTGTCTCAGCCTCCTAAGTGCTGGGATGACACATTTGTGTTCCTATGCCTTCCTGTCCTACCCTTTGACCTCTTGGCTGTGCAGCCATCACCTTCAGTTTCCTTGTTTGTAAAGTGTGCCTGAAAACCTTCTCACCCCAGGGTTGGGAAGCCTTGTCTGGGAGGAGAATGTGCAGGTGGAGAGTGGGCTCTGATCTGCTCCCTTCTCCACTCACAGGACTGAGTCGGAACCCATCTACTGGACCAACCCGGCGGAGACACTCCACCCCCTCCAGCTCTCCGAAGTCATGCCTTTGGGGCACCTGCTCGAGGCCCCGAAAGAAGTTCACCCGAGTGTCAGGTACATGTGGTCTCTGGAGGCAGGACAGGGAGCTGCTGCTGCAGAGTAGGTTCCTCCTATAGGAACACAGTGGGCTAGGCCCTCCAGTCTTTGCCTGAGTCCACTCCCAGGCTTCCTAGGGGTCCTGGGGCCTAGGGTGGCATGCTGTCCTCTGTGCCTTCATTTCTTCCTCACAGGGACAGGCACCAGCCCAGGCCCTCTCAAGGTTACAGAAAAGCTTGAGCAGACACTGCCAAGTAGTACTCATATCAGAAGCTCTGCAAGGCCCAAGGAGGATGCTACTGTCATCATTTACTGTCCCTGACCTAGGGCTAGGGGAGGTGGGACGGTAGGAAGATCCAAGGGTAGGAGCCAAGAGCTCTGGCTCCAGTCCAGCCTCACCACACCCTCACTTCCCAACCCCTTAAGGACCTCAGTGTCAAAAGTCTGTGAAACGCGACTGTGGCCTACCTAATCGCTTGTTTCTGGTCATGGCTGCACATTGGAATTATTTGAGGTGCTTAGAAACTTCCTAAGTGTGTGCCATACACCCAGAATGCTGGTGTCATTGGCCTGGTGTGGAACACCACATCAACTGTGCATCATGCTGGTCTCAAACTCACAGAGATCTGCCTGCCTCTGCCTCCTGAGTCCTGGGATTAAAGGCGTGCGCCACCACTGCCCGGCTTCAGTAAGCTCCTTTAGAGGAGCGGGCACACCCGGGGTGTTGGTGAGTGGCCAGGCCAGGCAATGCTCTGGAATGTGACAGCCCAGAGCAGAAGAGTTCCCTCCCTGAGACGAATTCTGAGGCATTGTTGTGTCCCCACGAAGCCCCCTGACTAGGTCTCTATTCTCTCAGAGCGCCCAACCTGGCCTCAGAAGCCTCGCCGCTCTCTGGCTCTGGACCAACCTGAAAATCTGGTCACTGCACATCCAGGTCAGAAGGAAGAAAACGGGGAAGGTGCCACCTACCCAAGAGATCTCAGCCCTGGCACCCACCCCACAACTGCACCGGCCCTGTCAGAAGGTGATGGAGGAGGGTCCCAGCTGGTGTTCCTGGACATGGCTCAGAACATTGTTGCCTATGACATCACAAGTTGGTGCTTTTCCTCAGCAGGAACTTACTATTTTATTTGCATGCGTTCCTTGTCTTCCCCCCCCCCCCCCCGTGTGTGTACATGTTGGTGTGCATTTGTGTGCTCGTTCACAGATTTGGTCCTGGACAGTCCTAGCAACAAGGCATACCTCACCAAATGGGGTGGCACTGCCCCTCTCCTCAGGGTCATTCACCCATAGCTTTCCTTTGTTGTGTAAGGGAGAGACCAGGTCAGGGTCATCCTTGTGAGTAAGCTTCAAGTCTCAAATCAGGGCATGGAGGAATTTGTGCCTCCTGAAGAAGGCAGACTGTGCCTTGGCCTTGTCCCTGTACCAGAGGGGAGAAGGGGACACACCTAAAAAGCACAGGACTGCAAGCCTTGGCCTCGCACCAGCTCTGAGGCTGCAGAGGACCCAGTTCTGCATCATGCCCCCTACTGTTCATGTCCCTTCTCTAGGCCACGCATAGCAAGGTGCCGGGGACACAGTAGTGACCAGGTTCTCAGTCCAGTGATGGAATCCCCCGTGTTTCCCGGGCCTCCCAGACTTGCTGGGGTGCTGGCTGTATGACTTGGGCTAGACATGCCATTCATGTTGCAGTGACTGGGCTAACCCATTGGTCTGACGCATTGCACTTCAGGAGAAGCCTTGCAGGGATGGGACGGGCCAGGGGCACGTGTGTGCCACCACTGCTGTCATGGCAGTTTTATTCCGTGCTAAGGGTCTGAACTTCAGTGCAGTTTCTGATAGAGTGTGAGTCGGTGCTGCAGTGGCTTGGGCACCGCAGCCAGAGGTTCCGGTTTGGGTATGGGAGGAGGAAGGCTGGTGGCAGTGTGGTCCCTCTCCTTCCCCCTGTCTTTGGGGGCCTTGGAGTCTGGACCATGTACAGTCATAGTCACCTTATTCTGAACACCCCCTCCTCTAGGTGACCATGGTGCAGGGGCCCAGCATGGTGAGCCTGACATTGACGTGAAGGCTCAGAGCAGGGTTCAGAGGCCCTATCTCCTTACCAGGACACAGCCCTGTCTCAGGTAAGGAAACCCCAGGGTGTCAGTTGCTGGGGATGAGGCATCTGTGGAGTATGAGGAATGGCATCCTGCTGGCTGGTGCAGGCTCCCATGAAGGTCTGGATTGCCACCCATTGACCTTCCTTGCCTCTCTGCCCTCCCGGCCTGTTCTCATCCATCGAGTGCCTCTCTATTCCAGACCTTGACTGTATTAGTGGGGCTGGCTCGAGGTAGAGCCCAAGCCTCTTCCTTGGCATTGGAGAATGTGACCTGTGTGGCCTTGTCGGCCTCCTCTTGCTTTTACTGCCAACCTTCTAGTGATCAGCACAAATGATCTCCGGCCCCCACACTACCTGCCCTGAGCTTGGGGCTCTGGGCCCTCTGCTTGGAGCATCTGCCTCTCTGATTCACCTGGGAAGCCGCCCTCTCCTAGTGCCCTCGGGTCTTCTGCAGAAGCCCACCTTGGGTCCCCTCTGTTGTGAGCACCTCACAAGGCTGGAGCTCCTTGAGGGTTGGAGCCCCAGCTGATTGAGTCCCCTGGGTTTGCATAGAATTGGCCATGTGAGCTGCACAAGTCACAGCTGACCTCAGCCCAGGGCTCTGTGTCTTCCTCTGACTCCAACTCTCACAGGCAGAAGCTATTCTTGTGCACTCCCAGTGAGAGAGACAAAGAAGCTTCAGACATTGACCCCTGGCTTCCTGCGTGGACCTCAGAGGACAGCCCCAATGGTGATTACTCGTAGGCTGTGAGCCTGCTAAACCTCCCTCTCCAGAGGGCTTCTATGGCAGAGAAGAGCAGGAAGGTTGGGGATCTGCTAACCACAGGGATGGCAAACATACTCTGCCTATAGTCGCTCTGCCCCTGATTGCTGTGCCAGACATTGCTAATCAATCCCTATCTTCACGAGCCAGCCACTACAGAACCTTTTAAACACAGAGCTATGGGTCGCTGCGTTCAGGCTGCTGGCTCTGGCACACGGTAATCGTGACCTTTCCTTTTTGGTTGACGTGTTGCCAGGCATTGTGCCTTTCAATGTCCTATACCACCCTGACCCTGAATGACACTATCCCTTCAAAGCCTGCTACACTGGGGTTGGCCACACTCCTGAATGTCATGACCCTTTCAGGGAGCCCACTGGCCTCGGGGTCTTCCCAGACCAACACCTGGCATGTGACGAACTACCTGAGTGAGATCTTAGGACTCAGCTCTTCTCTCTTCAGCTCCCCAAGCAAAACCCTGCCGGGCCACATCCTGGAGGACGGTGACTACTTTTTGACTGAAGGTGGGCTGTCAAAGTGGGAGGAGCTTCATTCATTCATAAAACATGGGGCACCCACCCACCAAGTAGTCGGGCCTGAGCTGGGCTTAGTGGATGCCCAGAGGGCTTTGAGGGGCCCATGTAGTGAAGGGAAAGTTCCAGAAAACTGCCACTCACAGCTGGCCTGAGGGTAAGTCTTGGGCATAAGTTGGAAACCCCAAAGGGGAGAGAGTCAGAGAAGGGGACTGGGGCTGGCCAGGGTGCTGTGAGGGGCGTCTAGTCCTGCCAGTCCTCTGCTCACAGGTCTCCTGGAGGCTTCGCCTGCTGACTGTGAACTGGAGGGCTCCCAAGAGAAGGTAAGCTCCATCTTCCTGGCTCGAACCCCTCACTGAGCATACCACACCTCCATCCTTGTGAGAGTTTACTGAGTCTGTCCTCACTACACACCTTGAGGGGCCTGGGAAATGCCTGCTTAAGATCACAGCTACTCCCCCAAGCAAGCAGGGTGGGGACAGGGCTCTTCTGTCACCTTTACCCACTCACGGGAGCCACGGTGCTTACTGTATGCATGTGTAACGCGTCTGTGTGTCTGACAGAGCCTCTTGGATCCCAGCTGGCCTCAAAAGCAATCCTCCTGCCGTGGCCTTCAGAGAGCTTGGATTACAGGAGTGTACCAGTTATCTGGTCAAATGTCTCAGTTCTCTGAGCATGGAGTTTACTCCAGTGGGTAGTCACATCACGGGCCTCGTGGAGCCTGAGCTCAGGAGGAAAAACTCCATTGGTATCATCTGGCTTTGTCTTTGCCTCTAGCTCAGCCACAGGAGGGAGCAGGAGGGAGGCAGCACCGAGTCAGCAGGGTCTGGGGCTGAGGCCACACGTGTGGGAGGGGGCACCTGTGTCCTCCAGCTGACATGCCTGTGTCCCTGCTCTAGTCCCAATTTCCTCATGTGTGAATTGATGCCATGAGGCCCCTGGTTGGGACATTTGAATCAAGGTCCCTGAGTTTCCAAGGGTGTGGAGTCAGGCAAGGGCGTCTAACCTGTGCTGTTTCTAATGCCCTGCACATCCTGTGGTCAGCGAGTGTCTTCCCCATCTGGTCCAGGACACACCCTCTGAGGGTCCCCTGGGCCCATCTAACTTCCAGTCCTCAGTCTCACTGGATCACTGCTACCTGCCACTGAGTGAGAACATCGAGGTGCTGTCCAGCAGCAGCTCCAGCTCTGAGTCCACAGACACGGACTCCTTGTGGGGACAGGAGGTGAGAGAGGTGGCCATCTGCCCAGGGAGGACAGGGGGCTTCTTCCTTGCTCAGTCTTCTGTCCTGAAGCAGGCCAACCCTATGGGCTTGCAGACCCCCAGTGATGAGGACAGAGACTACACATGGACTCCTACCCGGGAGTCTTCTGGGCTGCTGGCAGCTGGCAAGAAGGCCAAGAAGGTCCAGGCGAGCCAGGGCCCTGTGAAGCCCAAGGACAACAGAAAAGCCTGCCCTGGCCAGGTGAAGAAAAAGTGTGTCAATGGCTTCATCATGTTCTGCAGGATGAACCGGAAGCAGTACATCCGGTGGGTGAGGGCCCCGGGGGTTTTAGAAGTATAAAGAGGTTACCATGCCCACGCGTACTCCCAGACCATGTGGTCCCGCGCTTTGCCTTCCCATCATGCGCAACAGACCCAACCAAGCTCAGACTTGAGAATCAGAGAAAATTGGCTTCTGTCACCATCAAGAAAACTGCCTCCAGGTGGTTCTGGGCTGAATCAGCCCTGTCCCTCTCTGAGCTGTCATCTCCAGCATGCTGGGCACACTGGCAGCAGGGAGTCCTCAGGAGCTTCAGGCTCAGTCCTGCCGGATGCCCTATGAGTCTCTTCTGTAAACGCCCTTGGGGCTGGCTTAGATCAGGTGCCAGTCCTGGAAGAACGGGTTTGTGGGTGGTAGGGAGAGCCTGTGAGGTGGCGGCCATGTATGCTTTGGGGGACATCTGTGTCTCTAGAGGGTTACTGGGGCACTGGAAGGCTGGCAGGGGACAAAGAGCCAAGGACCAGGATGTAGCCATTGTGACCTCCTCCTTCCTGTCCCAGAGCCTGTCCTGGGACTGCATCCACAGCTGCCACCAAGGAGCTGGCTCAACTGTGGCGTGGGATGACTCTGGAGGAGAGGAGGCCATACTGGTGAGAAGCACCTTCCAGAGAGCATGGGGGGCCACTGTGACCCTCGTCCCTCACTCAGAGCCTCGTGACTACTCACAGGCTCGGGCTTTTCTGGGCTGAGAACTTGTGAAACACAAATCCCTTTTCTTTGTATATGTGTGGTGTGTGCCACACGCAAGTCATGCAGAGGCCAGAGCAGGGGGACATCAGATGTCCTTCCCTTGCTTTGCTTTTGCCTTGTTGCCTTGAGGCAAGGCCTCCCACAGAGTGGGGACTAACTGGCCTTTTCAGCCAGGGTGGCTGGGCAGCAAGCGCTTGGGCCCTGATGGTCTCTGTTCCTACAGCTGTGACACAGGCACACACAGCCAGGGTCTGCTCTTTATGTGGGCACTGGTGACTCCAACCCATAGCCCAGAGCAAGTGCTCATCCACTGTGCACCCCCAGCCCCTGGGTCCCAAGGGTTACGGCCTGCGAGGTGACAGATAGTGTCACCTGCAGCTGGGAGAGACCTGCCTCCATGCCTGCTCGGCCACACGGAGCTTCAGTTATCCCCCCCCCCCCCCCCGTCACTGGCCTCCTCCCCTCTCTTAGTCACCCTTCCCCAGGGCTGTCCCTTCCACCGACTTCAAGGGCGGCTCCCCCTTGCCCATTTCCAAACTAGCCAGGTCCAATTTAGACATCAGAACCTGGAGCCCCAAGGAGAGGCTGGCCCCATGGGGCAGAGTTCTGGTTCCCTGAAGCCCAGCTTCGGTCAGTGCTGGGGGCAGAGGACTAGTCAGGGAGCCTAGGAGCCAAGTGTGAGGAATTCCGTCTGTCCCCAGCACTAAGGCACGCAGGTTCAGCCGCCAGCACAACCGCATTGTCAAGCGGGAGAGCTCCAGCAGTGAGGACGACGATGGGCAGACCCCTAAGCCCTTCTACCAGCTGCTGGCTGAGAGGGCCCAAGTGTCTTTGGGCCTGGCTTCACTGCCCTTGCCCCACTGCCAGTGAGAGGGGCAGCCCCTGCTGGCTCTGCCATCTGCTTAGCTCCCAGGCCCCCCATGTTTGTCCCCCTGGGCCTCAGCAGCCACTGCTGAGGGTCTCCTTCCCAGCCCCAGCCCCCGCCCCAGGGAGGAAGTGTATTTACTGACCCAAGGCTCTGCCCTGCCTTGTACATAGTCCTTCCCACCCGTTCTTACACGATGGGTGCCGCGGATGAAATGCTGAGCTCCCAGATCGTATGCTTCAACCCTGTGTTTTCAGCGCATCCTTCCCTGCTCTGTTTGTCTTAAAATGAAATGGAACCCTTTTTGTGAGCAGGGGAAGGAATGCTGTGTCCTGGATCCCTTGGCCCTGGATGGGCTGTCCACATATCAATCCAGAAGCCCTTTGCTTCTGAAAACCCACAGGTATGCACTCAACCCTTTCACCCCAGAAATCAGTCTTGGGATGGGGTGACCCATGCTCATAATGCCAAGCATTCAGAAGACTGAGGCAGGAAACAGGATTTGAGGCCAGCCTGATCTCAAGAGGTACCCAAACAAAAAGCCCCAGGCTTGGGGTTTGGCAGGTGACCCTTACCCCAATAGCTCTGTTGTCTGTTAACTTGACTTTAATCAAAATGGAGGCATAACATGTCCTAGAAAAATAAAGATTTACGATACAAACTAGACAAAGGGGCCAGAATTGCCCCCAGGGGACAGGGAGATCTTTGGTCTGGGGCTGGATCCTGGGGCTCAAGTCCAGGCAAGTAGGGGAAGGGCCCTGAGCACCCATCAAACCCTCCTCACCAGGAAGGGCTCTCTGGGCCACACTCTGGCCTCCCATCCCTGGGATTCAGGCAGTTCTGGGAACACTGGGCATCAGTGGACCTATTAATAGTGTTATGGTGAGGGTACTGGCTGGAAATCAGCCACTTGGCAAGGCCTTCCTCAACTAGTACCAGGCAGAGGGCAAAGCCCGAGTCAGGGCCCCTAGTGCCCCTGCACTGGGCAGGTGGAGCGCAGAAAGGACCGTAGCAGGAGACTTCCCTCGGGGAAAGGACGCGCCCTGACCGGGGCGGCTCCTCTGACTTCTCGGGGCTTGCAGCTCCTTCAGGGTTGAGGGCTGTAGTGCGGGAGCTGCAGGCTGCTGCCCGGCTTCTGAGGGTGCCCCCTTCTGTCCTAGCACCTTGAGCACCACTGTCAGGAGAGGGGATGAGCCCGGGCAGTCACAGTTCCAAGGGCTCCTCCACAGGCACCGACTGCAGCTGCGTCAGGACCTTGGCCTCGGCCTCTAGCCCCTCATCAACCTCAGGGCCTGCTGGGGCCCCCAGGAGCAGCCCCTGGGTGTCGGGGTCTGGCAGTCTGAGCACAGTGTGGGTGGCCTGTGCCCCCAGCCCTTCTACCCCTGTGCTCAGTTCCAGCCCTGCTGGCCAGACTGGCACAGCTGCAGGTGACAGCATCAGAGCCTCAGGCAGGGGTGTGGGGAAGCTGGGCAGCAGGCCAGAGTCCGGGGAGAAAGGCAGGCTGGCGGCAGAGGGGACAGCAGGGGCCAGTGGCAGGGGCTGAGTGTGACCCTCGGGGAGGGCGGGGCTAGGGGCCACCGGGAGGGCCCCTTCGGGCACCGTGATGGCTGGCTCTTGCTTCAGGGGCAGGGCCAGGCTGGGGGCAGGTGGCAGGACCTGGGGGACCAGCACGCTGGTGGGAAAGGTAGCAGTGAGGATGATCTTGCCCTGCTGCACAGCTACCCCAGTGACAATGGGGCTGCCGGACACAGGGTTGGCCAGGAGGAAGTTCCCTGTGGAGAGAAGAGAAGGAGGGCAAGATGCTGGAGGGCAGGCAGAGGGACCGCTAGGCTTAACCGCAAGCAAGAGATGTGCCAGAGGCCAGACGGCTGCTCCCCCACCCAGCCCGGGTGAGGCCGGCGGGGAGGGTACCTGGGGTGGTGGCCGCGGGAAGCTGCAGCGCTGTCACGCCTACCCCGGAGTTTATCAGGTGCACATTGGCAGGCCCCGCTGTAGCTGCCACCTTCACAGGGCTGCCTGGCCCAGCTGCCAACAGCTGGAGTGGCCCCACAGCCTGAGGCAGGGTCACCACCTGGGAGGTGGGCACCACCTGGGGCAAGTTCAGCAGCGGGGAGGTGGGGCTCAGGCCCGTTGGGTACCCAGAAGACGGGGAGAGCGGCACGACCTGAGGCGCAGCCACAGAGGGCAGGGCGCCCGGGGCCAGGGAGAAGGTGGAGGCAGGCGGGGGGCCGGGGACTACCTGCGGCAGGGTCCCTGGGGCTTCCTCTCCAGCTGCCCCAGCCACAGCCCCCTGAGCCCCTTTGGGCTCCGGAGCCTCGGGTGGAGTCTCCTCCAGCCGGACCTCCCCCGTCTGAGGGTCCAGGACCAGGGACGTCTTGGCCTCACCGGTCCCCTGGGGGCCGGGCTGTGGTGGAGGAGCACCCCCTCCTCCGGTGAGCAGCAGGGGCCCCAGGCTGGAGGCCTCCCCTAGCGCCAAGCTATTGATGATGACGGGGCTGCCGTTGAGGAGCACTGCAGGGGGACTGCTGGCTGCCAGGAAGCTCCCGTTCACCAGGATGGAGGGGGAGGCGGGGCACGTCGCAGGAGGGGTGGCCCCCGCTAGGAAGATAGAACTCTGGGTGGGGGCCTCGGCAGCCACGGGGGCCACACCCCTCTCCAGGTCCTCCGGACTTCGGCTGGACTCGTCTTCAGTAGTGGGGTTCCCATCCGACTCGCTGGCAGGAAAAAGGGTTAAGTCTGAGGTCCGAGGACCGCACCGCCCCAGAGGCAGAGGCAACCCACGCTCCCGCTAACTACTTGAGCCCTTCAGAGGACCCGCACGGACCCCAGAACCTCCACAAACCCTGCTGGGGTCCACAGCATGGCGGGAAGGCTAAGCGGAGGGCGGCTTTCCCGTTGCCTTGGCCTGCAGCCGAGCACCCAGGCTGCCCCAAGTCCCCTGGGTCAGCAGGCGCGTGGCTGCAGAGTGAGGCAGCAGCCGCTACTGCGGTCCTTCCCCCTTCCCTCCCCCGGGGCGTCGGCGGCCAGAGCTGGAGGCCTGGCGCTGGGGTGGGAGGGGAAGGGCTTGGGTTACAAGGGAAACCGGAGCCGGGGAAGGTTCACGTTTCACAACAAAGACAGGCAACAGACCACGCCGTCTGGGCCAGAGGGGGCGTGGGGGTGGGCGTTAGTGATGGTCACCAAGGGGCCAGGCTGTGAGGTCCCCACCCTAGGTGCCTTAGACAAAGGCTCCCTTGCCCTTGCCGCCGCCCCTCCAAAGACCCCCCCCGCCCTTGTCACTGCCCCCGGCACCGCAGTCCCAACCTGGGAGCAGCGGCCAGAACCTCTGCCCGTGCGTGGGGCGGGGGTGCCTGGTGTCCCCGCGCTCAGCCCGTGCGCCGAGGGGCACGCAGGGTCGCGGGCTCAGCGGCCGGAGAAGGAGGAGGAGGAGGAGGAGGGCCGGCCCCTCACCTTTTGCAGGGCACTCCGCCGCCGCCGGCCCCCGTCCGGTCGCGCTGTCGCCGGTTCTTGAACCAGTTGCTGACCTGTGTGAGCGAGAGGCCGGTGAGCGTGGCCAGGCGGCGCTTCTCGTCCGGCGTGGGGTAGCGGTTGCCGCGGTAGCAGGCCTTGAGCGCCGCGCGCGAGCGCTCCTTGAAGCAGTACACGGTCTCCTCGCCGTCCCAGATGGTCTTGGGCAGAGGGAACTTTTTGCGCAGCCGGTATTTGTCCACGGCGCCCAGCGCTCGGCCGCGGGCCCGCTCGGCCTCGTGGTAGCGCGCACGCAGGTAGAGGTCCTGCAGGAAGGCGTGGTGGGCGGCGGGGAAAGGGCGGCTCTCGAGGAGCCGGTAGAGCTCGGCGTACTCTCCCCGCTGGAAGGCCACCAGGGCCCTCGCGCGCAGCACCGGATCGCTGCCACGTAGGCGCTCGGCCGGGGGCAGCGCGCCCAGGAAGCGGCTCAAGCGGCCGGCGTGGCCAGCTTGCAGCAGCGCCTCGCACACGCACGCCACCTGCTCGGGCGAGAAGCGGAGGCCGGCGGGCGCCTCGGCCGCGGTGTCGGGGGGCGAGCCCGGGCCGCTCGGGGACGCCGAGGCCGCCGCCGCCTCCCCCGCCCCGGCCGCCGCCGCCGCCTCCCCCTCGGCCGCCTGCAGGGTCTGCAGGAGCTGGCGCGCCTCCTCCTCCTCCTCCTCCTCGGCCGCCGCCGCCGCCGCCTCCCCCCCGGCCGCCGGCCCCGCGCTCGGCTCGGCAGGCGAGGTAGCCATGTTTGGCAACTTTGGGAAGTTCCTCCCTCGGCTGCCGCCTCCCGCGGGCTTCCCTGCCTCGCCCCGCAGCCCGGCCCGCGCCCCCCACCCCCGCGGCCTCCCGCCCCCCTCCCGGCCCCAAGGCTCGACCCGGCTGCGCGCTCGGGTTCGTCCCCGTGTCTGTGTCCGCCCCCTCCCCGGCTGCCGGGAGTCTTTGTTTTCCCTCCGCCTCCGGCCGCGCTTTCGGCCGCCCCCTGCGTGTGCCTCTGGCTCAGGGCCTCAGTTTCCCCATCGGGGCAACGGAGAAGGCAGCGGGCCGCCCAGGAAGGCTGAGGGCGCGAAGCCGCTTCGACCTCCCGGGTCCTGGCCAGGCCCCCCCTTCCCCATCTCCGAGCGGCGCTCCGCCCCTCGGAATTCCCGGCCCCGCGGGGAGGGGGCGGGCCTGGCGGGAGGAGGGGCGGGAGGGACGCGCTCCAAAGTTTTCGGCAACTTTTCTGAGGCGTCGCTCCACGGAGCGGATGCGCGTGGCCCGCGCAGGCGTGGTGGGCGGACGGCAGCGGGCGCCCTGCTGGCCCAGCCCCCTGCTTTTCCAAGCTTGAGTAGCACAGCTGGGTCACAGCTGGGCGGGGGTTGGCGTCTCGGGTGGCCTGTTGCTCCTCTCCTACTGGCTGGATGCCTAAGCTCCGCCCTTCATCCCGATTCGTTCGCTTTGCGTCCCCCCCTCCCCAGCTCCCGGTCAGGCCATTGGTTGTCTCTACTGGGCTCTCCATTGACCCAGCGGGGCTTCGTCCCCACCACAGACGGAGACTTCGAGCGGCTTAGGGCAGGCCAGAAAGTATTTTATTCGCAAGGGTCGGGGGTGGGCTCATAGGTGGGGACAGACAATAAATACCGAGGAATGTTGAGTCTCAGTGCATCCAAAACGTGGGTCCCGGAGTCTGTCAGTGAGTCAGAGGACAAGGTCAATAAATACCCACACTGCCTGGGGGTGGGGTGGGGGGGTGCAGCCATGACTCCGACGGCAGCGTTTGTGAGGAAAGGGTTGCAGCAACTCCCAGAAGCGCAGCTGTCCGAAGCCAAAGGCTCCCAAGAGAGCTGGTAGAAGTCGTGCTGGTCGTTTGTTGTGGCGATGGGACGTCCCCGGACATCAGGGGCTCGTGCACAAGGGTTTGGTGTAATAGTTTGTGACCAATGGCTGGAAGCGTGAAAGGTGAATTCGGATGGCCTGGGCAGTTTGCCTATCCACGTCGGGGCTGAGCGAAGAGTGGTCGGCGAATGTCCCCGCAGCAGCGCCGCCAGCCCGGCAAGAACCAGGTTCCTGCGCACGGGTCCGGCTCCTCCCTCCCCGGCCGCCAGGGGGCGGGCCCGGATCACAGGAGAAGAGACCGGTGGGGACCCAAGCTCGAAGAGGTGTGGAGTGGGGTTGGTGCAGGGGAGAGGGGATGGGCGCAGAGACGCTCTGGGCCATTGCCAAGTCACCCGGCTTTCCAAGGTGGCCTAGATGAAAGATGACTTGGAGTCTCAGGGTTCAGGGGGCGAAGGTGGCTCCCGGGAAACACCAGACTGGGATACAGGCCACCAACCCAGAGCAGCCCAGTGTGGCGGCAGCAGCCAGAGCAGCGGCGAACAGGAGCAGGCAACGCGCCTCCGATAGGCCAGGCCTAGGGAGCTGCAAGCAAGAAAGGCAAGATGAGCAACAGGCCCGCTAGCTCCCGGAGCCGCCCAGCCTGTACCCATAGATGGGCCAAGAATCCTGAGCGCATCCTGATCCCCGTGGCCTGCAGCCACAGTTGGTTTGGTCTGCTCGCCAGCCAGCCTGAGTTCCCGTCGGGAGTCATCATTGGCTACTTCGTAGCGGCCAGTGTTGATTGGCCGCCCGATCACCCTCCCTCCCTGCGGTGGGCCGAGCTCCACAGAGGCACAGCAAAGCGGTGGTGGCACTCAGTGGGCGGAGCGAGGCGGAAGCCCGTGATGGGAGGGCTTGGGACGTACCCTGGCAGGGAGCAGCAGGTGACGGCGGTGCACGGGGCCTGGCCCCACCAGCGGGCATTGGCCCAGAGCCACGGCCGGGGGGCCATCTAGCTGGAGAGAGAAGGGACAGGTGACCCGATCGGAGCCCAGCTCGGCCCCGCCGCCCTTAGCAGCAGGGCAAGAGGCAGTACAGGGAGTCAAGGCCAGAACGGGAATCTAGGAAGTTCCTTTGGGAAAGATTTGGCAAAGGGCCTGAAATGAGGGAGCACTGGTAGACACGGGCTGAGTGAAGGGCATCTTCCTTCTGGAGCCCACAAAGGGGGCGAGCCCTAAATGTGGGCGGGGAGACGGGCTGTGGGTAGCAGATCTGAGTGGGGATGGGGAAGAGACGGGGCTTACATGGGAAGGTGGATCCGTGGCCCAGGGACTGGGGACCCCCATGACAGCTGGAAGGAGAAGAGAGGTGTATGGAGCGTGGAGGGCGGAGAAGGGCGGTGGCTCGCGTGCCCCAGCCTGGGCCCCTCCCCTGCCCCAAGTGTCCACACACCCAGCTCGCCCCCATCTTCACCCGGTGCCCTCCTGGCCTGGGGCGGGTGAGGGACTCGCCTGGGGCTCCCGGGGCCTGCAGCATCTCCATCCGCTCCTGCAGCTGCCGAACGTGAGCCTCCAGGTCTCGGTTCCGGACCTCAGCCTCCTGCAGTTGGCTGCAGGAGGACAGGAAGGTAAGCCATCCCATAGGGAGGGGGAATGGGCAGGCTGCGGGGACCCCACACCGACCCCACCTGGAGAATTTCTGGTTGGCAGTGCGGATGGCCTCCAGCTCGCGGCTCAGGCTCTGCCGGGTGAGAACCTCTTCCTCCAGGGCTCCCTGGAGCTCCCGCAGGGTCACCACCCGCTCTGCCTCGGCTGCAGGGACAGCTGCTGTGTCGTCGGCCACTTGGGCCTATAGGTGGGGATGGAGTTTGGGGCCACCACTGGGCTCGGTCACACTCACCCCTCCCCTGGCCTGTCTCTGGTGTCCTAGTAGGCCCTGGGACAGCCAGCAGGGAACTGAGGTGCTGTCGTCAGAACTTGAGTATGTCCCTCCCAATTCCACAGTGCTTCAGACAGACGTGGCTTTACCCTCAGGCCTCCCCAGCTTGTGTCTGGCCTGTTCTCCACACCCTCCCGTCCTCCTTCCAAGGCCACCCACCCACCTGTGGCTTTAAGGACTCAGCATCCCACCTGGTGGGCTGTGGCTGACAAGGACCCCACCAGCCTCCTGCAGGTGGCCAGCAGTCCCTCTTGGCCCTGGTTGGTGTTGCGTTTGGACCCTACACTCACGCCAGGAGAGCATCTACCCCTGCGCTGTATATTCCCTAGGTTTCTTTGCTACTTTTTACTGGCAGACAGGGCCTCATTCCATAACCCAAGCTAGCCTCGGAACTGGGCTCCTTCTGCCCGTTCTTTGTGAGTAGCTGGGACCACAGGGCAATGCCCGTGGGCCTCGCTGAAGCTGTAATTGCAATGCCCTGCAAACCCCATGGCTTTGCCCGGCAGGTGCACCTACCCAGCAGGCTCTGCCCTTCTCCCAGCTGCTTCCTGGTCAGCCCAGGCCTCTGTCTACTAACCACTTGATCCGGTGGGGACTCTGGGGGCTCCAAGTTGAGCACTTGCAAGTCCGCCTCAGGCAACTGCAGGGCCTCCAGTTCCATAGGGGTGGGGTCCGGGACCTCAGTGTCTCTGAGAAGAGAAGAGGCTACCAAACGGAGGTCATGGCGCCTGAAGACCCCATGGCTCGTGGAGGAGCAGAGTGCAGTGAGCAGACTGCCTGGGCTGGTCTATAGCCTCACCCCTGCCCAGCAAGCCCCTGCTGGCAGGGTTTCAGCCTTGTGGCTGGCTGGCTGAGTAGTGGGCTGTATCCCAACCTGTTCTAACTAGCATGGGATGCCGCTTGCAGACCAGGACACCAGCCGTCCTGATATCTAACTTGCCTGGTCTGGGACTTGCCTGACGGTGGGCACCGTTCAAGCTTCCTCTACGTGTTCCCTGCTTCCCAGTTTACTCCTGAGAACAAAGAGACCACTGCCTGTGCGTTCTCCTTTTGTGGCAGTGGAGATGAAGCCCGGGACCTCATCCGTGCTAGGCGAGTTCTCTTTGCTGTTGAGACAGGCTTTCTCTGCGCAGCCCTGGCCATCATGGAACTCACTCTGTAGACCAGGCTGGCCTTCAACTCTGCCTCTCTCTGCCTCGGGTGTTGGGATTACAGGTGTGTGTTGTCTTTAGTACTTTTGAGACAAGGGCTCGTGTAGGCTGGCCTGGGACTTGCTCTAGCTAATGGCGACTGTGCACTTTTGACCCTCTTGCCATCGCCTCCCAGGAGCTGGGATGACAGGGTGTACGCCGCCACGCATACTTCACACAGCGCTGAGGCCCATGCCCAGGACCCTGTGCATGCTAACAAGGGCTCCAGCATCTGAGCTGCAGCCCCACCATGCTGGGGATGCTGCCTATACTGAGCCATGCTCACAGCCCAGGAAGCATTTTCTTTCTCTTCTTTCCACCCCCCCCCCACCTCAGAGACCAAGGCCTTACTTACTTACTATGTACCCCAGGCATGCCTTGAACTTGTGGCCCTCCTATCTTTACTCCCCCAGTACTGGGACTGCCAGTGTGTGCCACCACATGCCTGACCAATAAGGAATTTATTTGTTTTTGATGTTTTGAGACGGTTCTGACTCTGTAGCCCAGGCTGGCCTCCTTGATAGTGGTGTTACAGGGCAGCCACCCTGCCTAGCAAGAGTGGGTGTTGATTGTCTATCTTTTGTCTCTTGAGACAGAGTCTCTTGTAGCCCAGGTTGGTCTTGAACTTCTGATCCTCCTGCCTCTACCTTCTAAGAGCTGGGATTACAGGCTTGTGCCACCACACCCAGCATAATGAATGCTTTCAAAAAGCTGTACTGACCGGGCATGGTGGTACATGCCCCTAATTACAGCACCCTGAGGCTGTGAAATCGATCCCGCCTCAGAAAACAAGACAAAAAAAGAAAGAAAAAAAAAACTTTTAAAAACGTAAAAGTTGTTTTATTGTTATGTTCTCCAATGAGTTCATGTTCTTAAAATAAACTGTCAGATTCCAGGCCTGTTTCCTAAGAGCCTGGGTCCTATGACACATCCTAGAAGCATAAAAGTCAATGCCTAGGAGAGTGGAAGGCTGCGTATAAGATTCTTGGATTATATAACTGAACTGAATGTCTAAGAACATATGGCAAGGAAGGCCAGAGCTACGAGAGAGACCCAGTCTCAGAAAAGCCAACAGAACAAAGAGAAAGCTCATGTGTTCCTCTGCTGGCTCGTCTATGCCAACCTGACAAAGGCTGCAGTCATCGAAGAGGAGGGAGCCCCAATTGAGAAAATACCTCCAAGCCTGGCCCTGGTGGCACTCTGGAGGCAGAGACAGACAGCTCTCTGTGAGTTCGAGGCCAGCCTGGTCTACAGAGTGAGTTCCAGGACAGCCAGGGCTACACAGAGAAACCCTGTCTCACAAAACAAAACAAAACAAAAAGCCACCAACCTAAAAGCAACAAGAATACCCAACAAACTAAAAGCATTAAGCTTCAGGTAAGCCTCTAGGGCATTTTCTTAATTGGTGGTTGATGGGAGAGAGCCCAGCCCATTGTTGAGGGCATGGGGAGCAAGCAGGTAGGCAGCACCCTCCACGGCCTCTGCATCAGCTCCTGCCTCCAGGTTCCTGCGCTGTTTGAGCTCCTGCCTTGACTTCCTACAACAACGAACTATGACATGGAAGTGTAAGCTAAATAAACAAACCCTTTCCTCCCCACCCTGCGCTTCCTGTCGTGGTACTTCATCACAGCAACAGAAACCCTAACAAGACAGCTCCTAAGGACCCTTGGTACCAGGAATGACCCTTTGGGCCGGCTGGCCGAGGTGAGCCTGCACCTACACAGCAGCCAGTGGGCAGTCACGCTTACCTGAGGGCCATACACGAGTAGGAGTACCCCACGAAAGGCAGGTGGACCCCAAGTGGCATGCCTTCCTGCATGTCCGTCAGTGTCTCCTAGGGAAGAGGGGCAGGTCTGTGGCCAGCAGTTGCCAGGGATGGCTGCTCATCCCTCTGACCACAGCTTCACTGCTCCCACTAAGCTCACCCCACGAGCTAAGGGATCCCCTCCACCATTTCCTGTGGTATCTTGTTGCTTCTTGTTGGGCCCCTGCCCACACCATATTTTTCTGTACTGCAAGTGGACCCAGGCAGGACCTGGAGCTTGTTTAAAAAGGCAGCACTCGCCTGAGAGGGGACCTCCTGCCTCTCCCAGCATCCTGTGGGCCTCAGCTCAGTCTCCTTCAAGAACCTTCCTGGCGGGGTCTATCCTAGCCTCGCTAACAGGGAGACCAGTTCTTGAGAACACCTGTGTGCCCTTAAGCCTGAGTGGGCACACAGCAGTGCTCTAGGGTAATAATTTGGGACCCTGTGTAGCCCTGGCTGGCCTAGAACTCACTCTGTAAAGCACCAGAGATCCGCCTGCCTCTGCAGCCCTGGGATTAAGTATGTACCATCACACCTAGCCGATCACCCCAACTTCTATGAAAGGGGGCTGGGGGTCCCCTCAACCGCTCAGGAGCCGCAGGTACGTACCCCGCCCCCGCTCACCATGGCAGTGAGCCGGTCCTCTACCACATCGAAGTTGCACGTGTCCGTGGCACCCTCGAAGTCTGGGGTAAAGGGGGGCACGCTGTCTCGAAGACCCTCCCAATCAAGGCCACAGAAGAACGGATGCTTCTGGAAGTCGCCTGCCCCGCCTCGGCCTAGCCTTATCTCAGCGGGGCACAGCAGTCCCCGGATGAGGTCTTGGGCTTCCTCAGGGACACCTGTGTCTGCCAGAGGCAGAGCCAGGTGTTCCTGTTCAGAAAGCAGAGAAGAGCAAGAGTCAGCTCTGGGCTGAAGAGCTGGCTCAGTGGTTAAGGTCATTGTCTGTTCTTGCAGAGGAATCAAAGTTCTCTTTCCCAGCACCCACATGCAACACACAAGTGTGCGTGTCTCATTTCCAAGGAATGACATGCCCTGACTTTTGTAAGCATTTACATAATCCACAGACACACACAGCTAAAACACACACACACAACACACACACCTTTAAAAAAAAAGTCATCCCGGGAGCACGTGCCACCAAACCTGGCACCCTGCGAGGCATTCATGCTCACCTTGTAATGCACAATCTTGGCATATGTCTCCGCTGTGGAGTCAGCGTAGAAGGGTGTCTGCCCGTAGAACATTTCGTAGGCGAACACGCCCAGTGCCCACCAGTCACACTCGGGCCCGTAGCTGCCTGCCCCAGGCCCTCCGCCCACGGCCTGCAGAATCTCCGGAGACAGATAGTCCGGGGTGCCCACAGCCACCAGCGACCTCACCTGTGCCAACCAGACCCGAGTGCTTGCTTAGACCCTTCCCCCGACCGTACAGCCGGGGAGCCCAAGCTCCTTTCTTCCTACATCTGGCCTGCCCCTACCCGAGTTCTGCTCTCCACCCAGCTCTGGCCCCTGCACCTTCTGGTCCCTGACTAGTGGGGAGAGTTTCGACAGGCCCCTCCCACCGTACCATCCCATCAGGCTGTAGTTTGAGGCAGGAGCCGAAGTCCGCCAGGCGGATGTGGCCACACCGGTCCAGCAGAATGTTATCCGGCTTGATGTCCCTGTGCACAGAGAAGAGGACCCGGAGCTGGAAAGACGAACCTCCTGGGTCCCACCAGGCTCGGTCCAGTTCCACCCCAGCAGGGATTCTACAATTCTAGACCCCATTCCTACCCCCAATGGGATCCTTCCCACACACACAAACTCTGCTAACCCTCCAAGGGCCCCGCCACGCCCACCTGTGCACGTAGCCCAGCCGGTGCACCGAGTCTATGGCCATGACAATCTCGGCCAGGTAGAAGCGCGCCATCTCGGCGGGGATCCGCTCCCCAAACTTGCTCAGCAGCGTTAGCAGGTCCCCGCCCACGTAGTATTCCATGACCAGGTACTGGGAGCGGGCGTGTCACAGGGGTCGGTAGCCCCCAAGACTCCCAAAGACACCCCGTCCCCAAGCATAGAGCCCTGCAGTGTGAGGAGGCGCCCCAGAGATCCAAAGGCCAAACCAGACATCGCCTGTTCTCAAGGAGGGTCCCTCCTCTACCTAGGACATAACCGTACCCGCCCCTGTGCCCCCAGCCTACGGCTGCTCTGCTCTGCGTACTCCAGCTTTCTTGACTTGAGGCCGGGTGCCTATCTGTCACTCCTTCCTGGTCACCCCGCCCAGAGCTCACCAGGTAGTTCTCATCCTGGAAGGCGAAGTGCAGCTGTGTGATCCAGCGCCGGTCCCCTTTCACCAATACATCCCTTTCTTCCCGGAAGCACGACACCTGTGAGGTGGAGAGACGCTGCGCGATGAGCCGGGCAGACGAGGCGCCCCCGCCCCCCCCCAGCCCCGGCCCTCACCTCGCCTCTCTTCAGCATGTCCCACTTATTCATAATCTTCATGGCAAACACCTGGCCCGTCTGTTTCATCTTCACCACCGCTACCTAGAGGCGGGAGCGGGCGGGAACGGGAGAGGTGGGCAGGGAAAACAGCGAGGCTCACCCAGCCCGGCTCCACCCAGCCTTAGCCACACCCCCTGCTCACACAACCCCCACTCACCCCCCCAGCCCCGCCTCCACCCCAGCCTTAGGTTCAAGCTCATTCATCAATTTTTAAGGCTCTGCCCCAGCTGCTAAGTCCCACCCACCTCAAGTAATCAAGACTCACCTCACTGAATGCCCCGCGGCCAATCACCTTCAGGATCTCAAAGTCGTCCCTCTGCAGCCGGACCTCCTTAAGCCTTGCTGCAATGGGCTCCACTGGGTAGGGGTGGACGGGGGAAGACAAAGGTCAGCAGAGCACTAGAGGCAAGGATGGTGCCCTCAGTCTCCTCTCCCTTCGGCTGACTTTAGGACTCTGCTTCCAAACGCCCTGTGATGTTTGGGGGACCCAGAACGGACTGTTTCCACAGGGCCGCATGGCCAAAGGGGAGGCAGGGGGGAACCCGAGGCCCTCCATTCCCATCCCACGTGAAGATTTGGGTGTCCAGTCAGGTCCCGTGGCGAGAGTGTCATCTAATGACTTGAGGCATGGCCTGAAAAGGCGCGGTCTCTAGCATCGCCAGCATGAGGACTGCACTTGGGAAACGCTGAGTGTAGACCCTGGAGGGGGGTGGGGGGACACAGCCCACCAGCATCCTGGACACTGCTGGAGGCGAGCTTGGCCTCCACGGGGGCCTTCTTAGGCCAAAGCTCCAGGGGACGAGGTCCTGCCTGCCTAAGCTCAGCTTCAGCAGGAGGGGAGGGCGGGCAGCCAGGTCGGAGGCTGGCAACTCGGAGGCAGGGGGCAGAGGGAGGTCAGGCCTCCCTTGGGTAAGCAGTCAGGACTGGGAGGAAGGATGGAGAATGAGATGGTAGGTCCTGGAGAAGAGAGGGGCTCGAGGAAAGTGGACCGCCAGAGAACACACAGCCAGGGCCAAGGCTGGGGGGGGGGGTTGGGAGGAGAAAGCCAAGGCATTGAGCCCTTTTAAGGCAGCGGGAACCCAGGCCCCCTCCCCCGCCCAGGCCTGGCAGGGGAGGGGCCCATGGGATGCTGCTCGGGCCACAAAAGGACTGTGACTGCTCCTTCCCCGAGGGCCAGACCCCCACCCCCACCCGCACCCACACCTCAGCTCTCAGTTTACCCTGCCAGCCCAGCCCCAACCTCTGCCAAAGGAAGGTTGAAGGAGTCACTGAGGGCTACAGAGCAGAAAGGTCCCCCACAAGCTTAGCGGCCTAGCCCATAGCCTCCACCTTTCCATCTGTGAAATGGGGAAAGGGGAGAATGAGCTGTGTACACAGGCCAAGGACCAAGAACGACCTTTAACGATAGGCACAGAGCAAGGAAACCTATTTTTAAGGAAGTTGGGTTAGCCTGAGCTTCGGCTGTATGTGGGCCAGGGACAGATGAGGTCCAGGTCCATCCACTAGGCCTCAGCAGACCTTAGAAGGGCATTTAAGTTAGCAGGAGAGCTAGAGGTCTTGAGCTAGGGCCACGAAAGCAGCTGGGAAGCCAAATGGGATCCGCAGTCTGGGCCAAGATGCTAGCGATGGGCACACTCAGAAGCTGGAGTTGTTCCTCCTTAAATGGGGGGACAGCGGGACCTCTGCAGCCACTGTGCCCTCACAGCTCCTGGACACCTGTCAGGACAGCTGCAGAGGCAGGCGCCAAACACCTGCCTGCGAGCCGCACCCTGGCAGCTGCCCCACACTGTCCCACCCCACTCTGGGAAACCAGGGAGAGCTATGAAGCTCATTTTGAGGGGTGAGGGTCCTACAAGAGAAGCCGCCAGGCCCCTGTGTGGATGCAGAGGGCAGCAGGCTGTGGCCACCCCAGCCTGTACTGGCTGAGTCATGGCTGGCCTCCACTACTGACCCTCGTCTGCTCCAACCGAGGAAGCTTGGGGTCAAGGCCTGACTCTGCTTGGGTCCCTTCAGGAAGACCCCTCCAGGCCCTCCCGCCCCTCCACAGCCAACTCCTGCCCTGTAGAGCTCCCTCTGCGTTTCCCCACCCCAGGCCTCCTGCCCATACTCACCCCACTGCAAGAAGTCGGCCACATACTTGTCTTGGGCTAGGTGGGAGGCGCCCAGCTCCTGGTGGACGCCCAGGAGAAGGTCGAGCAGGGGCTCCAGCCCCAGGAAGCCGGGGTCCAGCACCAGCTGCTGGAGCTGCTTCAGCCGCACCTCGGCTGACATGTTGGGCAGGCAGCACCATGGCCCCTCCCCGGGCCGGAGCTCGGGGGTCTTCCTGTCACGGGGCCTGGCTGCCCCTGTCCAGGCCCCAGAACCCTGGCTGCATGTCTGCCTGTCCCTGACTATCCCTTGGGTCCCTCTGGCCAGTTCTGTGGCTGCGGCCTTTTTCCCCACCCCTTGGCCCAGCCCCCCTCCCGCCTCCCAGCTTTAACCCCTCCTGAGCCAACACCCCAACTCTCTTCTTTCAGGGCCCCCAAAACCCTTCTTTGCCCAATGTCAAGGGACAGAGTAATGCTCCAGAGACTCCCCACAGCCCTACCCACCCATAGGAGGGTGGGCACAGGGAGTTACAGGTGAGATCAGTGCTCAGAGCTGCCTAGGCTCAGAGCAGGCAGGCGTGGGGGGCAGAGGCCAGGGGCAGCTTCTTCGTGACTCAGCAATGGGTTCCGACTTTGGGACAGTTAAATTTAGCCCTGTGCCTGCTGTATTACACGCCCCCCCCCTTTTTTTGGCAGGAGGTGGAAGGGATCAGGAGGGAACTTATTCGGCCGCCAGGGCCAGGGGTGACCTGCTGGCCCAAGCCTGGGGGAGGCAAGTGGTGGAACCAGGCCCTCCCCAAGCCAGAGAGACCCCGAAATAGCTCCTTGGCCACAGGCCGGGGCAGCCACATTCCTGCCTGGGCTAGGATTAGAGACAGAAACATTTTGGGGGTTGGGGGCGGAGCCACCTGGACGGCCAGCCAGGAGGCATGTTAGCGTCTTTCTAGGGTGGCCAGTTCTCTGGGGAGGAAGTCACAGCCTCCAGTTGGCACTTTGTGGGCCAGTCACAAAAGGGCCAGGGGCACCAGGCTGCAAAGGCATGTCCAGAAGAGGAGGCCCAGCTCAGTTCCCAGCAGCCTCCCCTTCTCCCAGAAGAGCAGGCTTGGCTAGTCCTGACACTTTAAGACACTTTCTAACACCCCCGGCACAGGGATCTAGCAGGGACTCTGGGGTCAGGGGCTCTTCTTCCAGGGGGCTCTGCTCAGGGCGAGGGGATCAGGGGATGCTTCTGGGATTGACCTTCCTTTGGTGAGAACACAGTGTTGTCCCCCCCCCCCCCACCGCCACACATGCCCCAGGGAACAGAGACGCTGTGCAAACAAGTACTTTAGTATAAATAAGAGGTTGGGGGGGCATGGAGGGCCCCATGGGCCTCCGTAATTTTACACTCTTCCAATGCACAAACCAGAGCAAGGGGTGAGTGTGGGGTGGGCTGGGGGGAGGGGCCACCCCCGCACCTCTCACCCAGGGGCGCTGTGGAGCTGGGCTGCTGTGGGTGGAGTCTCCCAGGAGTGACCAGTCACATGCTGGGACAGGGGTGTGGGTTAACACTGATATTTCAGAGGACAGGTCATTGTACTTGGCAGTGGGTGGAGGCCAGGGCTGAGGCCACACAGGCTGCTACAGCGCCATGGCGGGGCCAGTCTGTGCAGGGTGGGGGCTCGGTGCAGTCTTCATCATGATTAGTCTTGTTACTACAGTGGGCCTTGAGACCTCAGGGAGGGCTATGACTAGGAGGACATGGGCCATCCACGGCTTCACACCACAGTGCCACTGGGGGAGTTGCCTGGTTGGGAGATGCCCTGGGAGGGTGAGAGGGAGGTTGGATTAGACAGCACCCGGGTCTCTGCTGGGAGGGGGCCCCAAGGGTTCACGATGCTTCTACCCCAGCTGGGCCCTCCAGCCCCGTCCTAAAGCGGCCATCCATGCCCCAGGGGGCACTTTTACTGATGCCCAGCTGACCCTGGGCAGACAGATGGGGCGGTTGAGAGGAGAGAATCTGGGGGTCGGCCCTACCTCTACCACTGGCTCGCTGGGGGACCTGGGCCAACTCGCTTCCCCTGCCTGGGCCTCGTTCTCCTCGTCTGTAAACTAGGGAGACAGAGGGCACCTTTTAGAGCTCACATGTCCCAAGCCCTACCCTCCTGCCTTCCCTCTCAGTGTTAAGGCTTCTTTCGGACTCGCACCTTCCACAGCAAGGATCTGAGGGACTGAAGGCAGTGTGGGTCCCAGACGCTGAGCCCACACGCTAAAGAACCGAGACAGCCCTGACCTGACCTGACCAGGGCCGGGCTGTCACCTCTCTCACTAAGGCCACAGCCACTGCACAGCCCGTCGCGAAGGCCCAGTGGCCAGGACCACACACCAAGCAGAAGTGCAAGCCGGGGCCTGGGCCTTTAGCAGCTGGCTCAGAAATGGAGTATCTAAGAGGCAGCCAGAGGCCAGGCCCTCTTGGACAATCTTATCCCTGGAGTGCCAGCCCCAAAAGCAAACAAACCAATTAAAATGCGGATTTCCCATAAAAACAGGTCTCCCTTGAGTGTTAGGGGCTGAGGGTGGGCCCCACAGGCCATCAGAGGCCCTTTGGATGTTTGGCCGTGGGTCTCACCATTCTGTCTCCCCCGCCTGACCTCTCTGCTAATGTGCCTGGCATCCACGAGGCCCAGCACTCAGAGAGGTGAGGAGCACGGGTGCCCCTCAGCCCTGGGGTCCCGTCCCGGGGAGTGGGGACTCACCACCTTGCCTGGCCGAGCCCAGGTACAGATGAGACCCTCTTGGCAGGCGGTGATGATGCAGTCCTCCAGGAACAGCAGCACGGTCAGGCGCTCCTGAGCGATCTTCTTGCACACGAGGGGCTCCAGGAGCGGGACCTCGTGGATCCGAGGGCACAGTGCCGTTCCCAGCACCTTGGCTGGATCCAAGCGGCTGCGGGGAGCAGGGCCGCTGAGTTTGTCGTTGCTGCTGCCCCCACTGCCCCCACGGCTGATGTTTCCCAGGCTGTGGTAGCGCTTATGTTCTTTCTCAGCCCCTCGGTCCCGCCGCTCCTGCAAGGTCAGTGTGGCGAAGCGGCCGATGCTGAACGGCGTGCCCGGCTCCATTGCTGCGCCGGGGCCACCAGCCTTGCCACCACCAGCTGGGTGAGGGAGGCTGTTGGACCGTGACAGGGAGCGGGGCAGGGGGCCTGGGCCTGCCTCTCCGGCCCGAGAGCTAGCGGAGGCTGGCGGGGTGGCCCCAGGGGTGCCGGGGAGGGTGCGGGTTCGGGCCAGAGAGGGACGAGGGGAGAGCACGTCCTCTGTGAGGTCCCACAGGCAGAACTGTGTGTCCTGGCCAGCTGAGCCAAAGCGGTAGGTGACGGAGCCGGCCTTGGGCAGTGGGGACAATGGGGCTCCTGTGTCTGAGCTGGTGGCCTCAGGCTCCTCCTCCTCACCACTGGCTGACGCTGCCTCCTCTGCCCGCGTGGTATAGGGATCGAAGGCCACAGCATTGACCCAGGACTTGTGGCCGTGGCCTCGAGCCACCACGCGACCCTCGGTGAAGGACCACACCGTGACCAGGTCGTCTTCCCCTCCTGTCACCACATAGCGGCCATCAGGGCTCCAGCACACACAGAGCAGACCCCCAAAGTAGCTCTTCATGAGCCCCCGCAGCAGCATGCTGTCAAAGTGGAAGACGCGCAGGCAGCCGTCCTGGCTGACGCAGGCCAGGTGCCTGCCATCCGGTGAGAAGGCGAACTCGTTGAGGGGCCCCTCGCCCACCGCCCACTTGGCCAGTGGGTTTCGGGGAGCCTTGCTCTTGGCTGCATAGACAGCGAAGCCCTCACCCTGTTTCAGTAGGCTATACTGGGGTGGGGTGGAGGCGCAGGGGTGGCTGACATTGTAGAGGTACAGGTGGCCACTGGCGTGAGAAGCGAGGAAGAGGCTCTCTGACTCGGGCAGCCACTTGAGATACGTCACCTTGGTCTTGTCAATCTGTCGCTGCAAAGGGAATGACAGGGTGGGGTTGATGGTGGACCCTGTTAGAACCTGGACCCCAGCTCCCCACCTGACTGAGACAGACGGCAGGATGTCACAGGGACACAGGAGCGAAGAGCCACCTGTGAGGAGCTCTTCCATGTCCCCCTTTTGATCAAGCAACGGCCCTGTCTGTCAAAGGACAGCCCTTCAGCCGCTTAACAGTTGCTTCTGTCTCCAGTGTAGCAGAGAGGAACTTCAACCCCAGAATGCCAGTTTCCCAGAAAGGGTCCCCATCTCTAGTCCCAGCTGTTAGAGCAGCAACCAGAGAACACACCCCAAGCAATGGCCCTGCACAACTCATGACACGCTCACCCTTCCGGCTGCTCCGTCAAATCCCTCCAGGCACATCTCCTCCCCCCAGGAAGTCCCGTCTTCCAGCAGAAGCTGTGGGCTTCCTGAGCCAGTGTGCCCCCAACCCAGTCTCTCAACCCACACCCCAGCAACCCTGGTCCCACTGCTGCTTCCCACAATGCCTCCCGGCTAGACTCAGACACTCGGCTGTCTCTTCAGTGGCCAGAGACGAGTAAATTCAAGCCAGCCCTTAGCCCTGCCTGACGTGATGACCCAGCTTCTCTCCTGGGACCAAGCTGCGTCCCACTGAGGGCTGAGAAAGCCACCAGCCCTCCAGTCACCTTGGCCCATGCTCAGGCACAGGAGGGTATTCAGGGTCAGCCCTCTGGCCCTGGTGATGAGGAGGGTAAGGCCCTTGCTACAGCTTCCCAGGCCCTCCTGTCCCTTCTCAGGATGCACCTGCCTTCTCTGCCTCAGCTGCTCCCTGGCCACTGGCTGGTGGCTGCCCTGTCTGGGGTATTTATCTAAGCCGGGGCCCAGGCAGGTCTTGAACTTTTGACCCTTCTGTATCAGCTTCCCAAAGAGCTGCGAAGAAACCTGTGCTCAGAGGCCTAGCCAACGCACTCTCTATTTAAACTGACTCCTGCAGGCTTCACTTCAGCGGCAGCTCCTGGCTGACCAGCGCCACATGCAGGACACCTGAGGAATGTGTGCAGCTTGTCCCCAGCCTCAAAGTGCGGCTAGGGCCGGCCTTGCATCTGCTCGAGCTGTGCCTGGACAGCGGCCTGCAGGAAAGGGCCGCTGCTCTGGGAATGGGTAAGTGCCTTCTTGATCCACTCACTGCCTTGCTCGTCCCGTCCCTCCAGCCATTTGCTCCCTTTGACCACTCTGGTGGACCACCTCCCCTGGACCAGGGACAGCATGACAAGAGCGCAGAGGCCTCCTTCCCTGCCTGCAGCTAAGGCCGCCATTTCCTGGCATTTCCTCTTAAGACAAGGTAGCCCAACCGAGCAGTCCTGTGGACGAGTTTATATAGCCCTGTGAGAGGGCGATGCTAATCCCTTTTCCAAAACCACACTGCAAGTCAATGACAGCAGGGAGTAGAATCCAAAGAATAAAAAGCCCAGCGTCAACAGGAACATCAGTAAAGTCCCAATTGCCTATGAGCCTCAGTCTTCCACTCTGCAAGATGGGCACCACACTTGAGAAGTAATGCCTCCTTTCACAGTACAATGGCACCATCAGTAGCTGTCTGTCGCTCTCCCCCTCTCCCTCGCCCTGAACCTCTTCCGCTTCTCGGAAGCTCAGTGTGGGGTGGGTGGCTACACAGGAAGGGGCGTTCCTGCCCGCAGTCACCTCTTCGTTGAATAGCTTGCTGGTGTCCTTCTTGATGAGGTCCAGGTACTGCACCTGGCCGGCAGAGAAGCCCACCAGCAAGGAGATGGTCTCCGTGGCGGCTGTGAACTGGTTGAAGTCGTGGCAGGTGGGCTGGGTCCCCTTGTAGATCCGCTTGTCGATGGGCTTGTTGAGGTCAATGGACTTGAACCGCAGGGAAAGAAGTTAATGGGTTAGAGCAGCCAGAGGAAGGAAGAGGAAGCTGAGGCTGGGGGAAGCCACCAAGAGGAAGCAGGGTTAACCTCGGGGGAAGTGGGTAGGTGGGCGGGGAGGGGCAGGCAACCACAGCCTGGACAGCACACACGCGCTCACACGCACACCACACCACCCAATAAACCCCGCAGAGCCTTTCAAGGTGTGATCTGGGTACACTGCTCACGGCCTCAGGGTTCAGAGTCCCCAAAGGCCCGGGGCTGATTCTCCTCCAGTCTTCTCGGCCGCCATCACAGTACAACTCCAGTGGGACTAAACGCAACATCCCAGGAGCCCCCACCCCACCCTCCAGACCCAAGGACCTTAGGATTTCTCCCATTTTTTTTTTGGCATGTAGTATATGCCCCTGTGCATGTGTGTGCACCATGCACATGCACCAGAGGTCAAAGGTCAACAGTTAGCATCTCAGTGGGTTCCCGTCTAACATTTGACCTGGGGTCTTTTACTGAACCTGGGGCTCACCAATCCTGTTACACTGGTGGCCCGTGAGCCCAGGGGACCCTGCCTCCGCTGCCTGAAGTGGGGTTGCAGACTCATACAGCTGCACCCTTTTACATGGGGCACAGGCATCCGGACTCGGCTCCTCGCGCTTTCGCGCGCACACCCATCCACAGGGCCATCTCCCAAGCCTCGTCTCTTTCGATTTGGAGTCAGGACACCCGTCAGTCATCAGGCTGATGCACGTTCACCCATGGACTCTCGGGGACCGCTCTCTCCCTCATCCTCCTAGGATGCTTTAGGGACATCTGCCACACCGGGGGATGTCGCCATCAACTCACAATTCCCATCAGTCCCCCAGCCTCACTCTTCACACACCCTGTTCTTTTGAATCCCGTTCTCCTGCTGCCTTGTTCGTCCACCCCTAAGCTACGCCTCCAGCCGGCCCCGCCCTCTTCACCTGCTAAAGATTCCCACCCTCATCACTGGCAAACGCCTGACACGCCTGGGTTTGGCAAGCCTTGACCCCCTCCAACCCGCCAAGAGAGCCGCCTTCCCCCTCCGCTCCCCTTCTCCCCTGGGCCTTGCATCCCCTTAGGGCGGATTCCCCTCGCCTGCAACCTCGGACTCGGTCGGCTCCGGGAAGCGGGCTCCCCGGGACGCCCAGCCTCGGGTGCCTTCGCTCGCTCTCGGCCCCCCACGAAGCGCAGCGCTCACCCGCCGGCTCCCGCGGCGGCAGCAGCCGGGGTAGAAGTAAAGCTCGCGGCCCAGGTTGAAGCAGACGCGGTCTCCTCCCGAGCCCAGGCCCGAGGGCGTGGAGGGCGGCTCCCCAGCGCCATCGGGCTCGCCGAGGCGCACCAGGCTGAGGCGGACGGCGGGCAGCGCGGGCCCGGGCCCGGGGCCGGGGCCGGCGGGCGGCGGGGACGACGCGGGGCCCGGGCCCGAGGCCGCGGCCGGCCCGGGCGGCGGCTGCGGGGGCTGCGGCGGCGCCGGGGTCTGAGCGCAGGCTGCCCCCGGCCTGCGCGCCGCGTCGCCGGGCAGCAGCTTGTAGAAGCCCTCGCGAGTGCGAAACTGCGACTTGATCTCGGCGCAGTCGCCCATGGCGGCGCCGGGGCCCGCTCCGCCCTCCGCGCCGCCCGCCGCCATCTTGGCCGCCCACCGGGCCCCGCCGCAGCGCGCCCGCCCGCCGGCAGCCGGACCCCCGCCGGAAGCGGCGGCCCGAGCGCCGGAAGGGGAGGGAGGGTCGTCGTCCGGGTGACGCCTCTGCGATTGGCACCCGGGGCCGCCGGCGGGAGGAGCCGGGACGGTTGCTGAGGTAACGGTTCTGGGAGGGGCGGGGATGTGGGCGGGGCCGCGGGGTGGGCGGGGCCGACAGGGACGCCCCGGGCCTTAACGACGGCGCCCTGGGAGCCGTTTGCCTAGCAACGGAGAAACCGCAAGCGCTGTTCAGATTCCTCGTGTTTTTACAGCTGACTCCAGGCGATTCCTGACTTTTATTTAATTAATTAATTAACTAATTAATTAATTAAAAAAATTTACTTCGTGAGGCAGGCGGATCTCCGTGAGTTCGAGGCCAGCCTGGGCTACAGAGCGAGTTCCAGCACAGGCTCCAAAGCCACACAAGAGAAAAACCTGTCTCGAAAAACAAAACAAACAAACAAACAAATTAAAAAAAATCACTGCATTTATTTATGTTTGTGTTCTTGTGTGGACAGGCACAATGTAGAGCTGAGAGGGAGTCGAGTCCCCTTCCACCATGTGGGCCCTGGGGATCGGGAGGGAGCAGGTCCTCACGCTTGGCAGTAACCGTTTGTTTTGTAGCCCAGGCTGTCCTCAAAATTGACCCAGTCCTGTCGCCTCAGCCTCCCCAGGTGCTTGGATTTCAGACCTGAGACACCACACCCAGCTCCTTGCTTCATTTTAGACTGGGCGGTTTCCCTTCCTCACTGACCGCCCTGCTGTGGTCCCTGCTGCTGGCAGGGTCAAGAGAAGCCCTCGGGACCTACCTGAGTCTGCCCGCCCCTGTTGGTTTTGCTTTCCTCATGATTTGACGTTACTAGAGTCACACGGAAGACAATCGCAACGAGGGACTCTCTGTGGGGTAAAATGGGCCGAGGAAAGAACACCCTGACCCTGACCCTGCCCAGGACCAGAGCTCGAAATCCCATCAATCTCTGAGCTTGCCCCAGTGCCAGGCTGCAGAATCCCACCAATCCCGAGGCACCCTGGGAAACTGCCCCCCCCACCTATATGAGCTCCGCACCCTGTTCAGTTTGCTGCTGTTTCTCACCTTAGAGGCAGCCACCCTCTTGGATGTTCCCTTCCCAGTAAATCTCTTGAGTGAGGTTTGTTGTGTGATGCGACACTTTCGCCTACTTCCGCTGGGGAAACTGTCCCTTAGCAGAGCAGGCTGTATCAGCTCTGCTGGAAACCCTCCCCTGCCAGAGCAGAGCTACACCTGCCGCGGAAACCTTTCCCGGGGCAGAACTGAAAGCTGCTACACCTACACGGACTGTGCTGTTCCTTGGCTCCTGACTGCTAGGACACGGTTCAGCACTTACAGGGTCTGTGTTGGGCTGACCCTTGCACATGTCTGTGGCTAATTCTCTTAGTGATAAGGGAAGATCCGGTCCACTGTGGGAGGCACCATTACCTAGGCAGGGGGCCTGAACTCTGTGGGACTGGGGACAAGGCTGAGCACAGCCAAGCAAGCATACATGCCTTACTTCTCTCTGTTGACTGGGAACATTCCTGCCTTGACATGCCTGCTATGATGGACTGCGACCTGGAAATGCAAGCTGAAATAGCGTTTTTCTCCCCCCAAGTGGCCTCTTGTCAAGGTATAATATATACTTTCTTTTTCTTTTTTTTTTTTTTTTCTTTGAGACAGGATTTCTCTGTAGCTTTGGAGCCTGTCCTGGAACTCACTGTGTAGACCAGGCTGGTCTCAAACTCACAGAGATCTGCCTGCCTCTGCCTCCCGAGTGCTGGGGTTAAAGGCGTGTGTCACCACTGCCCTGCTGGTATTTTATGTTTTATCACATCGACAGAAGAAAGCTAGTTCTGTTTTGCCACTATTTATTTATTTGTGTATTTAGTGAGACAAGGTCTCTAGCTCAGGCTGACTTCCACCTCACTTTGTAGCTGACTCCAGGTATCCCTGCTTGTGCCTCTCCCAGATTGCTATGACAACATTTGTGCAGTGCTGGGGACTGAACTTGGAGTTTTGTGCATGACAGGCAAGCACTCAACTGACTGGTTGTGAACCACCATGTGGGTACTGGAACTTGAACTCAGGTCTTCTGGGAGAGCAGGCAATGTTCTTAACCACTGAGCCACCCCCACCCCCAAGCAAAATTTAAAAAACAAATGGAGCTGGAGGACTCAAGTTCAGTTCCCAGTCCCCACAACAGGGGGCCTCACAACTGCCTGTTGGTAAGGCACCATGGGAGCTGACCTCCCCCTTTCTGGCCTCTGAGGGCATCTTCACTCACATACACAGACACCCACACCCACATAAATAAAAACAAATCTTTAAAACCAAGCAAGCCGGGCGGCAGTGACACACGCCTTTAGTCCCAGCACTCGGGAGGCAGAGGCAGGTGGATCTTTGTGAGTTCGAGGCCAGCCTGGTCTACGGAGCGAGTTCAGGGAAAGCCAGGGCTGCACAGAGAAACCCACCCTGCCTAGAGAAACCAGAAATAAATCAGTACAAACAAAGCTGGAGAAGGGGTGGATGAATCGACTGCCCGGTGTGACGACGAATGAATGAATGAATGTGTGACTGAGCGGCTGTGCTGTGTGGGGTTTTATTTGGAGCACTGGGTGCTTCCCCACCCATGTCCCGCAAGGGCAGGGAACAAAGAGACAGGAAAAATACAATCTGTAACTACAAGTGAGTGGGGGGCTGTGGGAGAGCTTGGCGACCTCAGTCCTCCAGGTCCTCGTCCTCCTCCTCCTCCTCGTCCTCCTCCTCCTCCTCGGCGGCTGCCAGCGCCTGCTCCTGTGCAGCCTTCAGGGCCTGCTCCTCCTCCACCGTGGGGTCGCTCACCTCCATGATTTCAGGCCCACTGGGGTACTCCTGCTGAATCGGAGCTGGCAGCGAGGGGTTGAAGTTCTCGGGGCTGTACTTGTGGCCCCAGCCAATGTAGATGTTCTCGAACTTCCTAGAGAAACAGGGGCGGAGACCTTCTCCCTGAGGGCGGGAAGAAGAGCTGCACAGCGTGGCCGCCGTGGCCGTGGCCGTGGGCAGGGGAGGCACGCACTACACGGGGTTTCTCTTGTCAGTCTGTCCATCCCACAAAGGTTTAGTGAGCACCTGTTCCGTGTTCACCAGGTTGGAAGAGTGTCTGTGTGAGTGTGTGTGTGTGTGTGTCTGTGTGTGTGTGTCTGTGTGTGTGTCTGTGTGAGTGTGTGTGTGTATTTGTGCACATGACTGCAGTGCCTGAAGAGGCCAGAAGAGGGCATCAGATCCCAGGTGTTGGAGTTGCAATGAAGCTGCCAAATATGGGTGCTGAGACACTGACCTCAGCCCTTTGGAAAGAGCAGTAAATGCTCTCAACTTTGGAGACAGGGCCTCTCAGTGTATAGCTCTGGCTGGTGTGGAGCACGCTTGTGTAGGCAAGGCTGGCCTCAGACAGATCTGCCTGCTTCTGCCTTCTGAGTGTGGGAATTGAAGGGGGTCGTTCAAGCTCAGCTCTTCACTTATATTTTGAGGCACAGTCTCTTCACCAGGTCTGGTACTCCTTGATTCTGCTAGACTGGCTCACTAGTAAATTCCAGGGATCCATCCATCCCCAGCCCCTCGCTGGGGGATTCTAGGCAGGGGCTCTAGCACTGAGCCCAGCCCCTCACTGGTTTTGGGCAGCAAGTACCTTAACCACTAAGCCATCTTCCCAGCCTTTGATGTCTTCTTCTGTCAGTAATCGTTTCTGAGTCTATTGGTCTCTGGTCTCATGTTATCAACATCCCTCACGGCCTTACATCTACTGAACCTTGTTTGAAGATTCAGTCCACACTTTGTCTTGGAGTGTTTCCTTGGACACTAGAGAAGAATGTGTGCTCTTCTGTTTTAGGGTGGAGTCACTTTGATTTAATTTTAGTTAATTTCGATTTTAAAAATAAAGCTGATACTTAATTTGGTTATTGGAAAACCTCCAAAGAGTCCTGGAACGACTTGGGAACATGAGTCTGTTTTCACTTCTTTTTCCTCTTTATGGGTGTATGTCACCACTTATCCTAGACTCGCCACAAATGTGAACCTCCTGACTCAGCCTTGTGGTGCTTGGATAATAGATATGTATCAGCAGTCTGGCTAAGGTCAATGTATTGAAGCCAGGGTCTCCTGCCAGTTAGGAAAGCACTTATCTGCTGAGCCACACCCCCAGCCCCTCACTGGGGGATTCTAGGCAGGGGCTCTACCACTGAGCCACGCCCCAGCCCCTCACTGGGGGATTCTAGGCAGGGGCTCTACCACTGAGCCACACCTCAGCCCCTCACTGGGGGATTCTAGGCTCCCATGGATGGATGCGTAGCTGTCTTTCCAACAAGGGCCTGGGATCCTGCAGGCAGCTGGCAAACAGTGACGTTCAAGAGTTTCTTATCGCACCAAATATGATGACATGAACCTGTAATGCCAGTACTCAGGAAGTGGAGGCAGGCAGATTGGGGAGTTCAAGGCTAGCCAGAGCTGCATAATGAAAACCTGTGTCAGCGACAATAACGTTCTTTGGGGGCCAGAGAGACAATGCTACAAGCTGGACGAGCTGAGTCTGACACACACAACACACACACGCGCACATGTACATGCGCACACAATTTTAAAAGGTCTTCGGCACGTGTGGTGGTGCATTCCTTTAATCCCAACACTCGGGAAGGAGAGGCAGGCAGGTCTCTCTGAGTTTAAGGACAGCCTGGTCTGCAGAGCGAGTTCCAGACCAGCCAGGTCTATGTGGTGAGATCATGTCTCAAAAAAAAAAAAAAAAAAAAAAAAAAAAAAGGAAAAGAAATGCAACATGAAACAAAATAAAATCTCTTCTGGGGATGGTGTGATGGCTCAGCCGTTAAGAATGCTTACTGGTTTCCTATGCCTACATCAGGAGGCTCACAGCCACCTAGAACTCCAGTTCCTGGACACCCAATGCTCTCTTCTGGCTTCCAAAGGCTCTTGTATGAATATGGTGCACATAAACTCACACAAGCACATGCACACATGTAAACAATATGCATAACTTTGTCTAGAATACCCTTTCATAAAAAGACAAAAGATAGATGGATGAATTACTGAACCGATGGGTGCATGGGTGGACAAACTAATGCCAGATGAACAGGTGAGCAGATGGGAGGGAGGGAGGAAAGGAGGGAGGGAATGGAGGAAAATGGGCTTGAGAATGTAGGGGCCACTAGAACTCAATTTGATTTTCACAGGGATTTTTAAAAGTTAATGTGTGGCTGGAATAAGAGGGTTAGAAAAAAAGCCTAGCCTCAGATTCTGGCCAAAATAAAATACTGATCCACAGGAATATGGTCAAAGCATCAAGTTCCCATGAAACTCCAACAGGACTAAGCTCAGAACTCAACAATGCAGTGCCCTCTGGTGGACAGGTCTGGTATCGCAGCCAGGCACTCCTAAGGCTGTACTGGACGGGGAGGTTGGTGAGCTGACTTAGGGGTTTGGAGATGATTTAAAGGTAAAAAGGGTGGAAGTGGAGGTGACTGAAGATTGTCAATATACATGTGTTTGAGATTGGGTCTCTCTATGTAGCCCTAGCTGTCCTGGAACTCGCTCTGTAAACCAGACTGGCTTCTAACTCACAGAGGTCCACCTGCCTCTGCTGGGATTAAAGGTGCGCGCCACCATTTCCTGGCTGGTGGGTAAGAAGTCTGTGCCATAGACAAACCCTCGGGTCAAGGGTAAACCGTACTTGCCAACGGCGTAGGCGTAGGCCCCTGGCCAGAGGTTGGAGCGAACGATGGCCACGGAGTACTGTGGGCTGAGGCTGCAGGAGAGGCGGGTGGTCCAGGGCGACAGGTGCATGATTTCTGTTGTGGGAAGGGAAAGGGCAGTGGTGGTCAGGGGTCCCCAAGCCCGGCCTTACTACACGGGTGGAGTTACAAATCACACTGAGAGCCCTACCTCTGTCCTGATGTGGAGATTCTGTGAGTCTGGGAGCCATGCCGCCAGCAGGGGACTTCAAGCCCTCTCTTGCAGGGTGCATAGCTTTGAACCAGGGTGCTGTGGCTGGAGCACAGGATCTGAGCCACCCTCCCGCTTGGCTCCAAGTGTCCCAGCCTTAGGGAACTCCTGCCAGGAAGGCAAAATCCAACTCCTGGCTGCCTCCCTTGGGGGAGCCTGCTAAACTCTCTCGTCCCCTAGCCTGGGGGGGGGGAGCTGAAAAGGCCTTCTTCCAGCTAGGTGTAGGGGTACAAGCCAGTAATCCCAGCACTGAGGAGACCAAAGACCACAGCCTGGGCTACAGAGTGAGACCTGCCTTAAACAGCAACTCCCGTGACAAACCCCCAGAAAGAGAGAAAACTTGGGAAGAGACTCTGTCTCAAGGCCATGGTCATTGTTATGTGCCAGGTGAGACTTAATGACAATAGGAACACATTCCCCCAGACCCATGGGGAGGGCTGTTGTTTTGAAGGTTTTTTTTTTTTTTAAACAAACAGGGTCTCAAGTAGCCCAGGCTAGACTCGATCCTTGTGTAGCTGAGAATGCTCCCTAAGGCTGAGGTGGCAGGCTTGTGCTCCCAGGCCTGGTCCACTGAGGCACAGAGGGCGGCTGGCATCAATGTTCCCACCCCATTAGTCCCTCGCAGGCCGGCACTGCACCTGCCCCAAAGGGAGGGCTCACCTGCGTCTTCTGAGAGGGGAGTCAGAAGGGGAGGGCCGACCTCCTGCTCCACCTCCTCCATCCCCTCATCTGCCTTCTCTTCCTCCTCCCCTAGCTCCTCCTCTTCCTCTGTCTTCTGCATTGGGTTCACCCACGTACAGCGACCCTGGGGGTGCAGCGGCAAAGTTAGATGGCACCCCCCACACACACACGCACACGCGCACACGCACACTCACAGAGCCTAGCCTACTGTGGAAGAAGGTGGAGGGACAGACAGGCTCCAAGAGCACTGGCCCTGTCCCCAGTGAGCATCAGGGTGCTGGGCACATTGCTGAGAAGAAGCCTCAGTTCCTTCTCTCTCCCTCCCTCTCTGTCTCTCCCTCTCTCTCTCTGCCTCTCTCTCTCCCTCTCTCTCTCTTTCTCTCTCTCTGCCTCCCTCTCTGTCTCTCCCTCTCTCTCTCTGCCTCTCTCTCTCTGCCTCTCTCTCTGCTGAGCTACATTCTCAGCTTTGTTTATTTTTATTTTGTTGTTTTCTCGTTTCTTGATTGCTTACTTTCTTGTTTTTCGAGACAGGGTTTCTCTGTGCAGCCCTGGCTGTCCTGGAACTCTCTCTGTAGACCAGGCCGGGCCTCTAATCACAGAGATCCACCTGCCTCTGCCTCCGGAGGGCTGGGATTAAAGGCTACCCCATCAGGCCCTGTTATTTTGAACACAGGGTCTTGTTCTGTGACCTTGAACTCCCTCTGATCAGTAACTGCTTTTTGCATGATAAGTATTGGTGGTGCAGGCTTTTAATCCCAGCACTTGGGAGTCAGAGGCAGATGGTCTTTGTGAGTAGCCAGGGCTACACAAGGAAACACTTTCTTGGGAAAAAAAAAAAGAAAGAAGGAAAGGAAGGAAGGAAGGAAGAAAAAAGGGGGAGTTATTTGAATGTAACCAAATAGTGCAAAGTCAACAATAGTTGATTGAATGAATTAATTCACTAGTGAATTAATTAGATGTCCCTGGCTGAGCCAATGAGATGGTTTAGTGGTTAAAAGTGTCTACAGAAAAGCCTGAGGTCTTGAGTTCAATTCCCAGGACCCACATTGTGGAAGGAGAGAACCAACTCCCAAAAGCTGTCCTCTGACCTCCGTAAACAAACACAATTGATGAATTAAATAATGTAACTCAAAAGTTTGCTCCCAGCAATCCTGACGGAAGGACTAAAACCCAAGGTCGATGTCAGGACCCAGGAGGCACTGACACAGCCAGCATCGTCACCTGTCCCCAGCCAAGAATCCTAAAAACATGCTCTGCAGAAGAAAAGGGATCTGTTGCAGCAGCCGTTTTCCCCAGAAGCATCTGTCATCTCTGATACAGGCAGAAGTGACTGTCCACCACAGCCATGCCCTGGCCTGTCCTGGGGCCTAGTGAGAGGTGCTGCGCCCGAGTCTGTGCCTGACCCCTCTTTACCACCAAGACCCATGTCACCCCAGGGTGTCAGTTGGGGGGATCATCAACCAATTCATATTCAAGGAAATAAGGAGGGCAGGAGGGATGGAGGAGCACGTGGGTGGGTGGGTGGATGGATGGATAGGTGGGTGGGTGAGTGGATGGATGGATAGACTAATAAATGAACTGATAAGTGAATGGATCTGTTGTTGGAAGGGCAGGTAGCTGGGTGGTGGGTTGGTTGATGAGTGGATGGATGGATGGATGGATGGATGGTTGGGCAGATGGGTGAGTGTGTGGGAGTGTAATGCTGGATGGATGCCTGTGGACACACCATCCTCACGCTTTTATCACACAGATGCTGGGCCGTGTTGGGCGGGTCCTGGTTGGGACACTCGGCCCTCACCTGCGGCAGGATGTGCTGCATGTGATGCACCCAGTTGGCCATGGAGTCCACGAGCTCCAGGACGGGGATGCCCTCAAAGTCGGGGTTCTCCTCGAACGAGTCGCGCCCCGCGCCGCCCTCCTCCTCCTCATCGCCTTCCTCCTCGCCGAACTGGTAGAAGCCCAGCGGGCTGATGTGCGTGGCGGCCGAGATGCGCGCAATCTGCGCGCGCAGGTAGTTGGCCTCGTTGCCCGGGAAGGGCGGGTAGCTGACAACCGGCGTGTCCAGGTAACCCGTGAAGAACTTCTTGATCTTGCGCGCGCTCACGATCTGCGCCGGCGTCACGTGCGGCAGGCGCGTCCACGGGCGGCCCGGCTCGTTGCACACGAAGTACAGGTACTTGTTGGCACCCGTGCGGCTCTCCTCCTTGGGGATGACGGGCGGCGGCTTCCACTGCGGCTTGGGCACTGCATCCACCACCTTCTCCTCATCCTCCTCGCCCTCCTCCTCACCGTGCGCCTCCAGGACCTCGCCTCCCTCTATCAGCTCCTCCACCTCCTCCTCCTCGCCCTCCTCCTCGCCCTCGCGGAACTCCACCTCCGCCACCAGGTAGCTGCGGCTCAGTCCCAGGATCTTGCCCCAGAAGCGGCACGAGTGGATGGGTTGCTGCTCCACCAGCTGCCTCAGGGCCAGGAAGATTCGGAAGCTTTCGTCCGAGCTCAGCCCCACGCCCGCCTGCTCGAAGTAGAAGGCCGTCTCCATGATGTTGGGCACCGGGCTGTCAGTCTGCACAGGGATGGGAGAGAGGGTGGAAGGCTGAAGGCTTCCGGGTCTGATTTCCACTCTTGCCACGGCCTGGGTCCCGGGACCCGAGCCAGCCGTGCAGCCCAGCTCCTCCCGAGTTAAGAACCGGGACAAAAAAAAAAAAAAAAAAAAAAAAAACAAAAACAAACAAAAAAAACACACTGTTGCACGCCTTTAGTCCCAGCACTGCGGGGAGGCAGAGGCAGGCGGATCTCTGCGAGTTCCAGACCAGCCTGGTCTACAGAGCGCGTTCCAGCCACCCAGAGATGCCTATCAAGACCGTCTAAACAACAAAGCCACCGTTAGTCATGGAGCCTGCTACTTAGAACCCGACAGACGCTCTTCACTGCCTCCCTTTCCAGTGGGTCCGTGGTTCATGGAGGTCGGGATGGGGTGGAGGGGGAGGGAGGACCTGGGGCGGGGGTGGAGTGAAACAAAAGCCAGGGACAAGTGAACCGTGGATCTGTGTCACGTGGCCTCTGGCATCTGCAGGGGGGCGGACACAGGCCACAAAGCTCAACATCCCTCAGTCTAGCAATACTGAAATAGCCAGTGATGACCCGAGCTAAGCCAAGGCAGCTGAGAAACAAGCTGTCCCGGATGTCTGGCTGGGATTCACAGGCATCTTCCGTGTGTGTGTGTGTGTGTGTGTGTGTGTGTGTGTGTGTGTGTGTGTGTGTGTATCCTACTTTTCAATCCTTTTATTTCCTCATTCCTATGCAATTAGAATTGGCATTCAAAATGAACGCTTCATATTAAATATTTAGACTTTCTGCATCTATTTTACGCATTATCTCCCACCAAAACCAGAAATCCAGGCACTATCAGAACCAGAAAAATAGTCATGTCCTCTTTCATGACCCTGCCTGTTACCTGCACTCAGCCCCTCCTCATCCTCAGGGCCATACACACATTTCACATTCATAACGGCTGTATTCCACATAGGAGGGCAAACATATGATTACGGCCTCACAATATTATATATTCCAAGTTTATCCATTTGTTTGAGACAGAGTTTCTCTGTGTATCCCCGGCTGTCCTGGAACTCTCTTTGTGACCAGGCTGGACTTGAACCTACAGATAGAGGTCTGCCTGCCTCTGCCTCCCAAGTGCTGGGGTTGAAGGTGTGCGCCACCACCAGCAACTGGCTTTTGTTTCAGGTTTTAAATTAATGTCTTCAATCCCTTTTGAGTTTTTGTACAAGGTGAATGTGAATCTAAGTTCATTCTTCCATAGGCAGAAATAAATTCCATTTTGCCAGAACCGTTCGTTGAGCAGGCTGTCTTTTTATTTTATTTTTTTTTTCCAAAGTAGGGTTTTGCTTCCTTTGTCAAAAACTAAGTGGCCATCACTTTGCTGTTCAGTTTCCAGGTCTTACATTCCATTCCATTGGTTTACCTGCCTTTTTATGTCAACACCAGGCTGTCTTTATCACCATAGCGCTACAGTATGTTTTATTTACGGAATCTTTTTCAGACAATAGACTGTGATCATACCCACCCCACTTCATTCTCTCTCTCTCTCTCTCTCTCTCTCTCTCTCTCTCTCTCTCTCTCTCTCAGGTCCAGTATTGTAATATCTCTGGCAGGGTTTAGTTCTTGGTGTTTTGTTCTTCCACACTAATTTTTTTTTTTCAAGACAGGGTTTTACTGGCTGTCCTGGAACTTGCGCTCTGAACCAGGGTGGCCTTGAACGCAGGGATTCACCTGTTTCTATTTCCGCAGTGCCGGGAAGAAAGGCAAGAGACCACCATGTCTGATGGTCTGATGTCACATAAGTTATGGGTTTTTTTTTCTAAATCTGTGAAGTTTCACATGGGGATTTTGATAGGGATTATACTAATTGTATTAATTTTAGCAGCACAGACATTTTTACAATATTAATAATACCTACCCAGGATCATGGAATGTTCTGTTGCTTAGTATCATCTGTGATTCTCTCTTGCAATATCTCGTAATCTTGGTTGTGGAGGTCTTTTGTATCTTTATTTAGATATATATTCCTAAATACTTAAATTGGGGAGAATTATTTTGAATGGAATATTTTTTTCTAACTTATAACTGTCCTGAGAGTAGTTAGTGTAAATGAGGTGATTGTTTGTATTTTGTTTGTTTCTGTTGTTTTGTTTGTTTTCCAGACAGACTTCCTCTGGGTTGCACTGGCTGTCCTGGAACTCCATCTATGGTCCAGCCTGTCCTCAAACTCATAGAGATCCACCTGCCTCTGCCTCCCGAGTGCTGGGACTAAAGGCATGTGTTAGCTTGTAATAGGTCTCCTTAAGATCTCTGTCTCTCTGTCTGTCTGTCTGTCTGTCTCTCTCTCTCTCACATACACACACACACACACACACACACACACACACACAGCATACATGCAGGCATCTTTGAAGATAATTGTATAGGTGATACACATTTAGAAACCCTTTCTTCTGGCTTACCCAGCTTTTCAGAGCTAAGTCTGTGTTACACTGTGATCAGGTGTAAGGACACCCTTTTGAGCTCTAATTTTGTTAATTTGCATCTTCTCTTTGTTCTGTCAGATTAGCTAAGGGCTTGTGCATCTCACTTTTTCTTCGTTTGGCTGATTTTGTATAGTGCTCTCTGACTCACAATCTCATTCATTTCTTCCCTAATCTTATTCAGTGCTGTCCACTGTGTTTGGGATTAGCCACTTTGTGTCCTGAGACCCTTGGGTGCATCGTTAGGTTGTTTATTCAGCCTCTCTCACACTCATCACTGTTAGGTTTCCTCTTCAGAGTTCTGTGTGGCCACACCCCCAGGGCTTCAGGCAGGATGTGACTGCATTTTCATTTGCCTCTAGGAATTTCTTTCATTTCCTTTCTGACTTCTTGGATAACCCACTGTTCATCCAAACATGTGTTTAGATGCTAATTATTATTAATACTATTATTATTATGATTTTGGTTTTTCAAGTCAGGGTTTCTCTGTGTATCCCTGGCTGTCCTGGAACTCATTCTGCACAGCAGGCTGAAAACCACAGTTATTAATATTCCAGGATCTCCCTATGATGCCTATGTAGCCTACAAGTCTAGGTCCTGCCTCAGCCTCCTGAGTGCTGGGATTCCAGGTATGCACCTCTGTCTTTAGCAGGGTGTTACAGCTTGTTTGCCTCGATGTCATCAACAGTAGCATCACGAGAAGATGGCTCAGTGTGTAAAGTGCTTGCTATGAGCTTGAGGACCTTGTTCGAGCCCTAGAACCTGTGAACAGTCAGGTTTGACAGTACAGGCTTATAATTGCACCAGGGAGGCAGAGATGGGTTTCCTGGATTCCCTAGTCAGATAGCTGAGTTGAGATGTGTTTGAGTGAACACATCATCTTTTTTTTTTTTTTTAATATTTGTTTTGTGTGTGGGGGGGGTGTTTTGCCACCGTGCATGTCTGTGCACCATATACATGCTTGGTGCCCTGGGAGGCAAGAGAGGGCATCAGGTCCCCCAGGATTGGCGTTACCGATGACTGTGATCCACCATGTGCATGCTGGGAATCGAACCCATGTTTACTGGAAGAGCAGCTAGTGCTCTTAACCACTGAGCCATCTCTCCAGCTCCTTCACCCCTCTTATTTTTGAGACAGGGTTTCTCTGTGTAGCCCTCGCTGTCCTGGAACTCACTCTGTAGACCAGGCTGGCCTCTAACTCACAGAGATCCTCCTGCCTCTGCCTCCAGAGTGCTGGGATTGAAGGTGTTCACACCACCTCTTTTGGACCCCTGCATCTGTGTGAAAACAGCGTGGTATCACACTACAATGTGACGTCATTGCTACCCGGCTCTTCTGGCCTCTGTTGGTGGACAAGGGTTCCAAATGACAGAGTCAACTCTTCAGAGAGGGACAGTGTGTCTTGCTGGCTTGAAATTCCCTATGTACACCAGGCTAGGCTTAAACCTAGAGATCCGTTCCGCCTGTCTCTGCCTCCTGAGGGCTTGATTGAAGGCATGCTTCACATTAGACTGGCCATAATCCGATTGGTGTGGTTGGATGGAGAGAGAAACCCAGATCCCTGGTCCCCAGAGATCATTGTCTGGTGTGGCTACAGTTCAGCATAAGTTGACACTTAGCAGCCACACACGGACATGCCTTATTCTAAGATAAGCCTTCACTGGCTTAGTAGACCGGAGATGGGAGGAGGGGGTGTGGAAAGAAAGGAGGGAGGGGGAACTGGGGTTGGAATGTAAAAAATAAATTAATTAAAAAATGAACAATAACAACAAAAAGAATTTACTGGAAAAGAAAAAAAAAATAGATGAGCCTTGCCTTGCTAAGGAAAACGTCTGGCTTCTGCTATTAGGAAACCACCTGTGCCCATTGAGACCATGCTCTATTTGGCTGTGACATGGGCCTCTTGTACCCATGTGACCCTTAAAGTCGTCCATGTAGCCAAGAATGGGCATAAGCTTCTAACTTACTGGCTCCATGTCCTAAGTGCATGGGTTACGGGTATGTGCTGCCGCAAACAGTCAATGTGGTGCTAGGCGCTGAGCCCAGGCCTTCATGCATCCTAGCTAAGCACTGCATCACTGAGCTGTACACACTCACACACACACACACACACACACACACACACACACACACACACAGTGCTAAGCATCAAACCCATAGTTTTTTGTATATTGGGCAATCTTTCTACCATTGACCCACACCCCAGCCCCTCACTGGGGATTCTAGGCAGGGGCTCTACCACCGAGCCACGCCCCAGCCCCTCACTGGGGATTCTAGGCAGGGTCTCCACCACTGAGCCACGCCCCCAGCCCCTCACTGGGGGATTCTAGGCAGGGGCTCCACCACTGAGCCACACCCCCAGCCCCTCACTGGGGATTCTAGGCAGGGGCTCCACCACTGAGCCACGCCCCAGCCCCTCACTGGGGGATTCTAGGCAGGGGCTCCACCACTGAGCCACGCCCCAGCCCCTCACTGGGGGATTCTAGACAGGGGCTCTATCATTGAGCCACACCCAAGCCCCTCACTGGGGGATTCTAGGCAGGGGCTCTACCACCCAGCTATATATACCCTCAGATTGGATTTTTGGAGTGAAGGGTTTAAGATGAGATCTTCTAGCTGGTCGGTGGTGGCACATGCCTTTAATCTCAGCACTCAGGAGGCAGAGGTAGCCTGGTCCTCAGAGTGAGTTCTAGGACAGCCAGGCTACACAGAGTAACCCTGTTTTGAAAAAAACCAAAGCAAAACAACAACAAAAGGTGAGCTCTCCTTAAGGGGCCCATGCTGGCTTTGAACTCACTCTACCCAATGTAGGCAAAACTGGCGATCCTCCTTCCCCAGCCTCGTGGAAAGGGACTCCTAGAAACAGACTAGAGTTCCTGTGGTGTGTATTGTAGGTGACAGTTCCAGGCAGTGAAAAAGGATGGACCATGGCATTGATGCTCTTGGGAATTACAGCTAGCCAGCCATGCAAGAAATGAGAAAGGGGGGGGGGCTGCCCTGCCCAGACGGGAAAGCAAATACAAATGCTGAGATGCGGCTCTGTCTCTTCCCAGAAGCAAGCACCAGCCACAGATACCCAGTTTTTCTCTCTACATGCTGAGTTAAGAACTCTGGGACTGAGGTGGATATCACACTTGCCTACTGTAGCGAGTCTCTCTACCTGTGCTGCCAGCCAGCTCCCAAATCACAGAGACTTACTTACTTCGACAGCCCAGCTGATAGTTTCTAACTAGCTCTTATAACTTAAATTAACCCATTTCTATTAATTTACATGCTGCCACATGGCTAATGGCTTGTTAGCTCACCTCCTACATGCCATGCTTCCTCCGCGTCTCCTCGAGACTCTGCCCTTCTTCCCAGCGTGCTCTCTGCCCTGAAAATTCTGCCTAACTATTGGCTGTTTAGCTTTTTAGGGAACCAATCACAGTGCCATATCTTCTCACACTGTAAAGGGATATTCCACAATTGCCTACTATGCATGAGAAGGACAGCATACACCCTGTAATCACATGACTACCATTGACCCTCAGGAGGTAGAGGCAGGAGGATCAGATGACAATCCTTACCTACCTAGCAAGTTCAAAGCCTCGGCTATAACAGACCCTTTGTCAAAACCTTACCTCCCCTCCTGCAAAAACAAAAAAGAAAAGTGTTTCCAGTTCTACGGAGATGGGGTCTCAGCCTTCCACAGCCTGTCAAGGCATTATGTTCACACAGGGTGGGACTTGGAAGGGAGCAGTGAACCGGGGGTGCTTGTAGAACCTCCCCCAGAGGTGCTCCCCCAGAGATGCTCCCCCAGAGATGCTCCCCCAGAGGTGCTCCCCCAGAGGTGCTCACCCAGAGGTGCTCACCCAGAGGTGCTCACCCAGAGGTGCTCCCCCAGAGGTGCTCACCCAGAGGTGCTCCCCCAGAGGTGCTCTATTGAGGCAGGGCCTCCTGGTATCTGGAGCTAAGGGGGTTAGGCCATCTAAGGTGTATCTCTTATAAAATAATCCCTTATAAAATACTCTTTTTAAACTAAGATTTAAAAATGTTTTATGTGTATGAATGTTTTGCTTGCACGCATATGAGTGTTTTGCCTACATGTATATCTGAATACCATGTATGTGCCTGATGCTCTTGGAGGTCAGAAGAGGGCATCAGATCTCCTGGAACTTTTCCATCCAGGTTTTTTTTCCCCCTTAAAAACAGGGTCTTAGCCAGGTAGTGGTGGCGCACACCTTTAATCCCAGCGCTCGGGAGGCAGAGCACATGTAGGCGGATCTCTGAGTTGAGGTCAGCCTGGTCTACAGAGTGAGTTCCAGGACAGGCTCCAAAGCTACACAGATAAACTCTGTCTCAAACAAAGAAACAAAACCCAGGGCCTCATGTATCCCAAGCTGGTTGACCAGATGGCCGTGAACTGCCCTGCAGGCGTTGGGAAACAAATCCAGGTCCTCTTGGAAGAGCAGCTGGTGCTCTTATCTGCTAAGCCATCTCTCCAGCCTCTGGTTAGACCTTTAAAAATGTATTTTGGTTTAGGTGCCCCAGATACTGCCTCGGGTGGCACCCACGGCCCTCTGTCCCCTCCGCGGGCACAGTGGACGCTGTATCGCCCCTCGCTCCTGTTGACCCCTTCAGCACAGACCATGGCCGGTCCTCCAGCCACTCTTGCATCCCCCTCCCCTGCATACCAGCTCACTCACCACCTCCTCTTCCATTTCCTGTTCACCTTCTCCTCCACCCCTGCCGAAGAGGGCCTTTTGCTTCTCGGCCATCTCGTAGGTGGGCTGCATCTCGGGGTCATCTCGCAGCGTGTCCAGCTTGGGGTGGAACCATTCCCACTGAGTGTTGCGGTTCAGAGTCTCCAGGATGGACAAGGGGTCCTCAGGCCGCTGGTTCAGGATCTTGGTCAGGAGGTTCACCAGATGTTCATACCTACCTCCCGGGGGTAGCGGGAGGTGGAGGACACCACTCAGTCAGTGCACTGAGCCTGCCTGCTGTCTGGCGCCTGTTCTTTCGTCTTCTGCTAGGGACACCGGAGGGAACGGAAAATGTCCCCGCCCTGTAGGAACTGACATTCTGATGATAGACACAGATGGCTAAATGTAGCCAGAATGGGGGTACTAAGCCCTCCCTGCTCCTTTCCTCTCTGTAACAGGGTCTCACGTGTAGCCCAAGCTGCTGGCCTAAAACACGAAATCTGACTTCATGACTTCTGTTTAATACTAAGCGGCCACAGCCAATGCAATAAGGGGATTACAATAGCTAATTTTAGTTAATTAACTCTATTTGTTTAAAGGGATTAAAATTGAAAGTGGATGACAATGAGCAATTGTTTAGGCTCACAGACAATGCCGCCTGGGTGGCAGGGAGATCCCCGGGGTGGGGGTGTGCTTGGCACACTGGGAAAATGATGGTTTAGAGTCACTGAAACAGTGTAAGGGAGGATTAAGAATGGAGAAGCCAGAGTAATCATAGTCCCATGGTGGCTTCCGTCCACTCAGTCCAGCACCATGCTGAGCATTACTGAATTCTTACAGCAACCACGACACACACATGCACACACCCCACCCTCCAGGGAACCAGTGCTTAGGAAATCTGAGGCCATGGCTCCGCACACTTTGAAACCAGGCCGGTCTCACCACAAAGCGTTTCTACAAGCCTTTCTGCTGCATGCAAACCACTCTGTGAATAGTCTCAAGTGTGTGTGTGTGCGTGGGAGGGAACCCACGCTGGCAGCGGACCTGTAGTAGACCTGTATGTATGTACACTATATGCATGCCTGATGCTTGCAGGGGTCAGAGGGTGCTGGATTCCCTGGAGCCAAGCTGCCTTCTGGGTGCTGGGAACAGAGTCCTCCACAAGAGCAACAAATGTTCTTAAAGATTTATTTATTAGTTATAGTGTGCTGTCTGGCATGTATGCCTGCAGCCAGTAGAGGGCGCCATATCCCATTATACATGGTTGTGAGCCACGCCACCATATGGTTGCTGGGACTTGAACACAGGTCCTCTGGAAGTGCTCTTAACTGCTGAAGACAGCTCTATAGTTAAGAGTACACATTGCTCTTGCAGAGAACCAGAGTTCAGTTGCTCACACCTATGTCAGGCAGCCCACAACTACTTAACTCCAGTTAAGTGCAGGGTCCTCTTCTAGCTTCCACAGGGAGTGTGCTCATGTGTGGGAGCACACACACACACACACACACACACACACACACAGTTAAACAGATAAGCTCTCAAGACTGGAAACGTGTCGGTGAAAGACCTGCAGGTCAATTTTGACTGGATCTGGAGCCTGAGGTTGAGGCAACTAGGCAATGAGTGGAAAGTGAGTGTGCGCGGAGGGCAGGGTGAGGAGCCACACCTCCTCAATGTCCTCCCTCAGTCAACAGGGAGCCACAGCATGTTCTGAGCACAGGAGGGATGGAATCGGCCATGTGCTTTGGCCAGCCCTGATTCAACATTTCCTTTTATTCTCGCCGCTGTGGTCCAGACATGGCGACGCCCTCCCAAGGCCGCCCTATCTCTGGGCCGCTCTTCCTCTTGCTATGTGCAAGGCGATGCCACCTAAGCCCTTCTCATCGACTGTGCCACGTTCGACATTCACACTTCCCTCCCTATAACATACCAAATGGAAAAGTTAGACAAGAACAGGGCCCTGGGAGCCAGAAGCCTTGTTCTACAATGCTGGCTCTGTCACTTCTTGGCTGTGTGACTTTAGATAAGCAACCCAACCTCTCTGGTTCAGTCTCCTGTAGAAACAGGCTCAGTGGCTGTGTGAATCCCTGCGACTAGATGTTAGGGTGGGGTGTGCTGGCACTGAGTCTGCACCCGTTTCTTATCTTTCCTCAACTCTCTGCTAGGTTGGGTGCCCCCAGGGACCCCACACCCGAGGCAGCCTCGGCTAGGGCCCTTCCCAGCCTGCTGCCCGCTTTCTCCACCCGCTACCCTCTCTCACAGGCTGAGGTTGCAGTTCACGCTCGTCTGCAGCAGGTAGGCCTTGGCGTTCTGCACTGCCAGCTCGCGGGGCTCGGGGTCGGGCACCTCTCCAACAAAGGGCATGAAGCCCAGGCCAGAGGGCCCCAGGTGGAGAGTGGGGTCGTCCCTCAGGTACGGCCCATGCTGCACAGCCTGGGTGAATGGCTGGTCCTCTCTTTGGTACATGTTGAACTGGCTCATGAGTTCGGCACCCGGGTCCTGGTACGAGGTCTCCAGTTGTTCTAAGAGGCCCTGAGGAAACTGCTGCATCATTCTGTTTTCATCCAGGTAACCCTGTGGCGAGAACTCCAGTGGAAAGCTCGGTGAGTACCCTAAGCTCATGGACCGGTTGTACTCGGTGCCTTCCTCGTCCTGGTTCTCTGGGATCAGGCTGGACCTCTGTGGCCAGTGCGGCAGGTCCGTTCCCTGAAGGTCTTGACTGCCCTGACTGCTCCGACTACCCCGCTGCTGCTGCTGCTGCTGCTGCTGCTGCTGAGATTGGGGCCCAGCATCCTCAGGGATGGTTATCAGAGGCTGTGAGTGCTCTCGACTGCGTGACCTCTCTGAGCCTTGAGAAGACTTTCGGCCTTGGGACGAGGGGTCAGGGTTGGGCGGTGGCTCCCCCATGTCTCCAAAAAGCGTGTGGACCTGTAGGAGGAAGGCTAGCCGCTGCTGGTCGCGCCTGCACCCTGCCTGCCGTTACATAACCTGCGCGGGGCGCCTGCAGAGTGGGAGCTGGCTGTGCGCAGGCGCAGCCTAGTACTGGCTCTGACTTCAGAAGTTTCTGGTCTACAGCAGAGAGCACACTGCAGCCACGCCCTGAGCGCCACCTCCTTTATTTGTGTTAAGGCAAAGCTCTAGGTGGCCCACCCCGCCCCTCCCCCCAAACTCCCGCAGCTGTCAGCTGTCCCCCTTGCTCTCAGGCTCCCTGGCCTCCGGGCTGGAGGTCGTCAAGGCTTCCTCCACTGCGTGGTTGAGGCTCTGGGGGCTCCGCTCATCCTTGGAGCTCGGTCCGACTGTTGCTGCCTCCTGGTGGCGGGAGAAGGCAAGGGGCAGCGGGTCAAGAGCTGGCTGGACCCTCAGCCCCAGGGGCGGGGCCGGCTCGCTCCAGCCTCCCTCTACAGCTCTAGCTGTCCCCCTACCTTAAGCAGGGGACCCTCAAGACTAGAGTCGAGGAGTGTGGTTTCGGCCAGCCCTGAGTCATCGTCCATGCTGATGAAGATGGCCGGGGTCTCGCACTCCGGACCCTCCTCCCGGTATTCCATGGCCTCCTCAGCTGGGGTGGGACCGGCTCGGGCTGCCGGCACCACGGGCACGGAGGAGGATGCTGAGACAATGGGCGCTCCCACGCCTGTGGGCTTCAGCTTCTGCTCCTCCTCTAGCTGCCGCTTCAGGGCCTTCTCCTGAGCCAATCGCAGGCCGATGAGGTCCTGAGGGGGCCGCGGAGCAGGAGCAGGGGCCGGAGCCAAAGCCAAGGGCTCCAGGTCATCCTGGGGTGGGAGGGGCACTCATCTCAGGAAGGGCGCCCCCCCACCACCCAGGACGGAGGAGACAGAGGCCACCGAGCTGCAGAAAGCAGGGAGGGCACACCGAATAGTCTCTCCGTCTCTCCATCTGGGCACAGGAGAGGGTGGGTAGCCATTGCCCTTTACCAGGAATGCAATCTTGGGGGGCTGTGGGTTTAACAACCGGGCTTCTTGGGGTGAGAGACAGGCAGGTGGGCCATACTGCCCTCACCTCTTCCAGGGGCCCTGCAGGTGCTTCCTTCACTTCGGGGTCCTGTTTGCCGCTGGCCTCCAGGATGGTCATGATGGAGTTAGGGATATGCGCTTGCTAGGGGAAGGGAAAAGCGGGGGCTAGAGCTGTAGAGAGCTCCGGCCAGAGGCACCTCTCAGCACCCGGTAACCCAGAACTCGAACCCTCCAGATCCCTCCTGCTCTGCTCCGCTCCACCGCCCAGGTACCTGGTGGGGGGTGAAGGAGCGCACGTGGGCCAGCAGTGGCTCCCGGAGCTCAGGGCACTTGTCAAAGACCGCGCCAAGCTGCTGCGGAGGTAGCTGCAGGATGACTTGGAAGCTCTGGGGCTTGGTGCGCTGGCAACACTTGATGAAGCCCTCCCATACCTTGGGGTACTTCCACACCTGTGGGGCGGGAGGGGGCCATTAGGTGACGGCCCAAGTAGCTACTTCCTTACGGCAGACACTGCCACGACCACCCACATGCCACCTCTTGACAGCTTGTTCCAGGGTTCTTATACCCGCCTGCCCCGGAACTTGCCTTTCTCACCTAGGAAACTACTAGCACATGACCCAGGTAAGGGGAGAGGGGACCCCACAACCAGTCCCTAGGTCAGCACAGCACTAAGTGCTAGGTCAGCCCCAGCTCATGTTGTCCTCACAGCCACCTCTAGTTGGCGCCATTAGCCACTTGATAGATGAGAGGTGCAAAGACCTTTGGCAGACCTGGTACAGGGACAGCCTGGGCTCTGAGCCCGGCTTTGGAATGGAGGAGGAAACCTGATTATCACTCCCAGACTAGACTAGGTCTAAAAGCTGGTGCTGCAGGGTTGCGGTCCCACCACTAGGAAGCCTGATGCACGATCACCACAGATTTGAGCTCTTGGTTACTCTGGAACACACGTGACAAGACCCTCACTAAAACACAACAAAACCTTCCTGATCCCAGCTCCCAGAGACTCATGTTTCCAGTTGAACTAATGCCTGCCGGGCCCAGGGGCGGGGTGATGGGAGGCACCCACACCTCTCCCATCCCGAACTGTTCTCACTGGCTAACCTGTAGCCAGGGGAAGGGGAATACTGTAAGAGGCAGGTAGGTGACCAGAGGCGGGACCCTGCCACCCTGGCAGCTGAGATCTGCCCACCTCGCCGCCCGCTGCCGGGCAGGTTACCTGCTTCATGATGAGTCGGGCCAGGATGTTCATGACGAAGCCCCCCAGGCGGGGGTACATGGTCAGGGACTGGATGACGGTCCGCATGAGCAGCATGGGCAGGGGGCTCTGCTCCATCAGCTGCTGCATCACCACAGCCAGCACCTCCGACGTATACACATTCCGCTCAGCAAAGCACAGGTTGGTGGCTGTGAGGAGGCGGAGAGTGGGCCTCTCCTCTCTGCCCCGATGTCCCCCGTTAGGTGGGAGCCCCACCCCCAGTTTCTCCACCCCTATCACAAAGGCCCTTCCTTTATGGGATGTTCGATGGTCCTGCCCCCAGGAAGATGGAGATAGGTGTGTCCAACCCCTGGATACCCTGCTGTGTGCCACCTGGGACACCCAACCTCTTCCCAGAAGACAGCCCTGGGGAGTGCAGGAGACAGCATGATGACAAGCCCTGGGCCCTGCCACGGCCTAAGAAGGGTGGCTGTAACCCATTCAGGGGGGTGGGAAGAGCTGCTGACACCCTAGCATCCCCAGAATAAAGTTGGTGTCTGCTAGAAGGCTGACCAAAGGCATTGAGGTCTGTGACTGACGGTGCAGGCAGCTATGAGAAGGGACACTTAGGAGGGCAGAAGGGAGGAGAGGGGTAAGAGGCAGTGCTGAGTGAGGACCCAACTAGTGCCCACAGGGTGTGGAAAGGCGTCACCCTGAAGCAAGCAGGCCTTGCTTGAGGTCTGGCTCCTGGGAGCAGGCGGCAATGTCAGGGCCAACTGGGCTAAGGGGAGATCCCAGGAGCTGCCCCTGAAGCCCTTCCCAAACACCACTGGCCATGAGCGTGTCAACCAGGAAGTCTTTATTGAGCCAGAAGGAAGCCCCTCCCCACCTCACAAATCCGAGAGGCCAATGGAGGGGAGGGCGGTCCTGTAAGGAGGAGGCCCAGAGAGAGAGGACATTGCAGCAGGTGCACAGGCTGAAGGGCAGAGGAGAGGCCTGCCAGAACTCGAGGTGCCTGCTCCTCTACGAAGACCTGCTCCACTGCTCCCCAATGGGCCCTGAAGCCAGAGCCCACCCAGCAGCCCAAGTATGAGGCCAAAGCCAGTTTCCACCCTCACCTGGAACGTCTGCTCAGTCCTAGCTTTGGCCAGGTCCCGCTCACTATCGCCTCGTCCCTGACCCCACTTCAGAAAGCCCTCCCCAAGTCCCAGGCAGGCTACATCGGGCTGCCAGCGTCCTAACCGAGTGCCCAGCACTGTGTGGGGATGTCACAGAAGCCAGGTGAGATGCAGTGAGAGCTGTGGGAGCCAGGGCCCAGCCCGCTGAGAAGGTGTCAACGGCCACCGCTGTCACTTTGGCAGGATCCTTCCTCCCCTCTTTGTGACTGGACTTCTCTTCTGGATCTAAGATGGTGTGTGTGTGTGTGTGTGTGTGTGTGTGTGTGTGTGTGTGTTCCCCATTATGCACAAATATGTGATGAACACACAACCCTTGGGCTTGTTCCCGTTGAATCTAACAGATAAGAAGCGCGGGTGTGCTGGAGCCTAGCACATTTGAGGCTCCAGGTTCGTTCCTGTGTGAGAGTCTAAGACCCACAGCCCTGGAACACAACCTTTGAGACCTGTCCCTGATTCCTTCCCTGGGTCTGCAGCCTCCTCTGCCCTATCTTCACAGAGCCCTCCCCTGTAAGGATTACTGAGGAAGGCCAGGAAAGCAATCCCTGAAGAAGAGGAAAGGGAGGGACAGAGAGGAAGCCACACTAAAGTGAGCAGAGACAGGGTGGCAGGCAGGGGCCCTCCTGGGACGTATCTGGGAAAGGGAGGGAAGGGAGGCAAGAGGGGAAGATGGTGATGTCTTCCCAGGGGAGGCTCATGGGCAAGAGGCCTTCTTGGTTTGGGCCCGCTTTGGCTTAGGTTGTGTTACGCGGCTAGCTTCTGTGAACTCTGTGACCTATCTACACCATACTTACCAAGAGCCATGTGGGTGGCAGGAGTGGGCTTGTGGCATGAAGGGAGGGCATGCTTGGGCAGCGGGACAGAGGAAGCCTGCCAGACAGCCACCAAGCCCCTGCTATGGAGGTCCTCTGCCGCCTCAACTCAGGCCGGGCATCTAGCCACGCCAGCAGAGTGCCTCTGACTCCCCATGGGCTCTGCTTCCCTGAGCTCCGCAGGACAGGGTGGGAGGGACGGCCCTCGTTCCCAAGAACCACGTGATGCCAAGGCTCAACTAGCTGTGTATGTGCCTTGCGCAGAGGCCAAGATGGGGCAGGCACAGCAGCAGGCGATAGTCTTCAGTCCAGGGGGCCATGCAGGTGACTGAGGCCCACCCCCAAGTTCATGGGAGCTGGGCCATGTGGGAACAGGGGCGCCTCACCTTTGATGATAGATTTCATGTCACATTTCACTGAGTCAATGTTGTGCAATGCAATCAGCAGCTCTCCTGGGTTCAGGGGGGATAAGGCCGAGTTCCCTTCACCTGCAGGGGGCGGTAACAGGGGAGGAATATAGTACATAGGCCCCAACAAGAGGTGGCTCTCAGGCCAGGCTGGAGGAACTGTAAACACAGATAAGGCACTCTCTGCTTCATGGGGACTGGGGGACAGAGGGTGAGACTGGATGAAGTGGCCTGGAGTCTTCCTCCCTGCTACCTGTTAGAGTTGCCTTGCTGTGCACCCTGAAGGCAGGGTCAGGCCCAGCCACCCTAGGACTGAAGCAGCACAGCCCATGACCACGGCAGCTACA